AAGTCTATATTTTGGGTCAGGACCCTTCTTCAGAACTGGGGAGGGGGAAGGGAAATAGAAAATAAATAGAGGGAGGAGGGGTGGGGCTGGGGGAAGGTAGGTGGGATGGTGATAGGTGGATGCAGGTAGGGGGTAGTGGGGATTGGTTGATGGGAAGTGGGGGCAGATAGGATGGGGGAGAAGATGGACAGATTGTGTTAGTTGTGGTAGGTCAAGGAAGTGCGAGGGAGGAGGGGTGGGGCTGGGGGAGGGGAGGTGGAATGGTGATATTTGCCATGTACCAGGAATGGGTGGTGATGCTAAATCAAAAATGCTGGTTTGTAAACGGCAAACTAGTTAATGCTGTACTTTACGAGGCAGAGCAGAGAGAGTTTTATTGCATCTTGAGGGAGTTAACATATTATAACACTGCTACAGTTACATTGCAAAACCGCAAACATATATGATTGTGCTCTTAGGAAACCACTAATTGTTTGTTTTAGCTAATCAAGCTAACAGAGCCAACATAATTCATTGTCATAAATTTTGTTACTTGCCTGTTAGCATATAGCTCTTAGAAATCTAAAAATGTGATTATAAAAGGTTGACATGTATGTGCATGTTAACAAACCTCATAGTAGTCAGTTGAAGCTTGTCACATAGGGGTATTGGACACTTCTGTTGGTGAGGCACCGGATAATGTGAATTTCACCATAATTTTTTGTCAATTCCACCAGTTCATTTCTTTTTTCTTACAGAGCACAAACCTTCATTTTTCTTCCAGGAGGACTAGAGGAATGAGGGATGACAGGGGGAGGGAGGTGAAATGCAGCAGATACGACTGACTAGACATTCTCACACATTGGCAATGAAATCAATGAAGTCAATGGAATCATCTCACTTGTACTTGGAGACAAGAGGAGATGAGTAAGAAGATGGGATTATCTTCACATTCTAGGATGATGTTGGAATAGTGATTAATTTTGGTCAGATAGGAGGACCTGCTACTGGTGTTTATAATCCAAACAGATCAGGCATTGACTGTTGCCTGTCATATCTGGTCAAATCTGCATCCCTTAGACTCAAGGAGGATGGGGGTTGTACTGGCGAAACAGGGTGCTAGAGATGAATGTTTTTAATGGGGACTAGGATATCAACAGTGGATGTGAGGGTGTGGTTGAGGTGATTGGGAACTGATAATGCTTTTGTTGTGAACAAAGTGCCACAAGCTACAAAATTGGAATTTTGTAAGTGCAACTATATCTGGAAAGTGATATTTTCAGGGACAGATGTCAAACAAAAGAATTCAGTATCAGAGGGGACTGTGGATGGAGAGTGATATAGGAGAGTGATCAGAAATAGCCTTACTTGATTGGCATGATGGCAGGAGCAAGGCTGGTGAGATAACACGGTCAAGAAGGGGCATGAATATGAATTCAGGAGCTTGGAGGAAAGGTAGGTAAAGGTGGTAAGGGAGTACAGTGGGAAGAAAATCTGGACTTGAAACGAAATTTTTAGTGTACAGAACAGTTGTTGCCACCATGTTGCTGCATTTCAGTTAGATGTGGACTGTGTCTCAGTGATATGTAGAACACTAGATAAACTCGATCTGCAGTGCTTTTGTCATATCTTTCAAGTTCAATGGGAAGATCAACAAACAAAGGTTGATGTCCTCTTTGAATCCAGCTCCGTAAGCATTCAGACAAAACTTCTTTAAAATCGACTATGATGACTGGATACTATCAGGGTGGTTGATAATTGCCTCTCCAACCAGGCCCTTTTTTTCTCAGCTCTCATGTAGCTAATGTTACAGAGTAGGGCAAAGAAATACATCTAAGATATTCTAAAGCTCTCCTTGCAGCATGAAGCATTAAAACTATATTCTGGTAGGAGCTTGGTATCAATCACTCATTATGACAATAACTTAATCCATTAAGTTGTATAATGAGATAACAAGGTGTAGAGCTGGATGAACACAGCAGGCCAAGCAGCATCAGAGGAGCAGGAAGGCTGACGTTTTGGGCCTAGACCCTTCTTCAGAAATGTATAATGCCTTAGGGTCCAATATCATAATGATGAGACAGAGTGGCAGTAGGGAAGGTATGTAAGGGAAGCAAATTCTGCAATCTGGGTGGCGCTAGCTTTGAGGACATCCTGTCCCATGCACCCAAAGGTAGGCTGGTCATGATTCAGCCTGTTCAGTTGCATGAAGACCGACTCGACTTTTGAAGAGTATGAGGTGGTTTGATTGAAACGTATAAAATCTTGAGAGATCTTGGCAGGGTGGAATGTAGAAAGAATGTTTCCTCTTGTCGGAGAATCTGGAACTGGGGGCATTGACTAAATGTTACTTAATACATAATTGATGTTCTGAGCATTGGAAAATATAACCATTAGTAATGTCTTAATGCAACAGGATTATGGTCCTTACAGGAAATATTACATAGTCATCCCGGCTCCTAGTGTATTTACTTCTCCACATTTCACTCAGTCTTAATGTCCTGTGATCATCAAAGATCCTTTCCCTCAACCTTCTGAGAATTCCTTCTAGTCGTAAAGAACACTATGATGATTACTTCTCCTGGCCACGGAGGAGTTAATCTTCCACTGTTCTTAAATTGCTGTGGGAGAAATATGGGGATGGAATCAAATTATTTAAGGGGCATAGTGATATTGTCACTCGACTAGTAATCCAGCAACATCGGGACATGGATTCAAATCCCACCATAGCAGATAATGAAATTTGAATTCATTTAATAAATTTGGATTAGAAGAAATAGTTTAATGGTAGCCATGAAATTATTGCTGATTGTTGTAGAAATCTACCTGGTTCACTAATATCCTTTAGGAAGGGAAAGTTTGGCATCATCACCTAATTTGGCCTACATGGCCCCAGATCCACAGCAATGTGGTTGACTCTTAAATCCCTCTGAACTGGCCTCGCAAGCCACTCAGAATTATTTAACAAGAGCAAAGTCTGATAAAACCAGACAGATCATATGGCATTGACCAAGACACTGAAAAGATAACTATTGTAAGCAATTCTGAGGGACAGGATTACTTTGCATTTGGAGAGATAGGGATTAATCAAGAACAGTCAGTGTGGTTTTGTTAAGGGGGAGTCAGGTCTGACCAACTTGATTGAATTTTTCAAAGATGTGACTGGGTGAGGGCAATGCTTTTGATGTAGTCTCCTTGGACTTCAGCAAGACTTTTAATAAGGTCCCATATGGCAGACTCATTGCAGAGGTAAGACCCATGGAATTCATGGAAATTCGGCAAATCGGATCAACAGTTGGCTGAGTGACAGGAAGCAAAGAGTGATGGTTGAAGGGTATTTTTCTGAGTGGGAGTCTGTGACTAATGAGGGCTCACAGGGGTCAGTGTTGGGGCCTTTGCTGTTAGTGGTTTATGTAAGTAATTTACAGTTGCATGTAGGAGGGTGATCAATAAGTTCACAGACAATACAAGAATTGAAGGGGTGGCAAATAGTGAGGAGGATAGCTTTAGACTACAAGAGGATATAGATGGGCTGCTCAGGTGGGCTGATCAGTGGCAAATAGAATTCAATCTGGATAAATGAATATGGGTAGGACAAAACAAGGCAAGGGAATACATGGTAAGTGGTAAGACTCTGGGAAGCCCTGAGGATCAGAGGGACTTTGGTGTGCATATCCACCAGTCCCATTATATTTCAGGGAAGGTGAATAATGTGGCTAAGAAGACTGTGGCATTCTGACCTTTATAAGTCAGGGCATATAGTTTAAGAACAGGGAGTTTATGCTAGGACTGTGTAAGACGTCAGATAGGCCACAGCTAGAGAATTGTGCAGTGTGGAATCCACATTATAGGAGGGATGTGATAGTCACTGGAGAGATTGCTAGGAGGTTTACCAGGATGCTGCCTGGGCTGGAGAGTTTCAGTTATGAAGAGGGATTAGACAGACTGGGGCTATTTTCCTTAGAGCAGAGGAGGTTGAGAGGGGACATGATTGAGTTGTATAAAATTGATGGAGCACGGATAGGATAGACAAGAAGAAGCTTTTCCCCTTGATCAATGACCAAGAGGCACAGATTTAATGTAAGGGACAGGATGTTTAGAGGAGACCTGAGGAAAAACAGTGTTGGGAATCTGGAATTGGAAAATGTGATTAGAATAGTCAGGCACTTGCTTTTGAGTGGTGGTGTCACAACAAGCTGAAGGGCCTTTTTCTGTGCTTAGATTTGTTTGACTTTAGCACTGTTGATGATGCAGAATTCTCCTCATTAACATTTGGGAGCTTGTACCACAATTGAGGGAGCTCTCCCACAGACCAGTCAAGCAATAACCTGACATAGTCATTCTAATGGAATCATATCTTACAGACGTTGTCTCAGGTACCATCATTATCATCCTTGGCTATGTTATAAAGTTGTACTGGCTGAAATAAATAAATTTAGACAAAACGTTTTCTGGATATGTTCACATACTATGAAATCAGATTTAGTTTCTTTTCACCAAGTACTTAGGTATTCTATCTTTGGAGGCATTGTGTGAATTACTCAATTAATCTCTTTAGATAAGGGAATACTACAACATAGAACTTCAGTCATAGATTTAACTTGAATCTCTTACTCATTACTATACTTTAATTGAAGCATGAAGGAAGATGTATAGTAGTATTGTCAACATTACTATTCTGCAATCTAATATTTCCATATCTCCATAACAAAAACACTGAGATGATTTATACACTGATGAAAACATTCTTTATGAAAAGTAATTAAATCATGTTCTGAGATAACAAGGTGTAGAGCTGGATGAACACAGCAGGCCAAGCAGCATCAGAGGAGCAGGAAAGCTGACATTTCGGGTCGAGACCCTTCTTCAGAAGAAGAAGGGTCTCGACCCGAAATGTCAGCTTTCATGCTCCTCTGATGCTGCTTGGCCTGCTGTGTTCATCCAGCTCTACACCTTGTAGTCTAAGATTCTCCAGCATTGGCAGTTCCTACTATCTGTAAATCACATTCTGTTTGTTTTAGGTTCATCACATTCTGAATCATATCCAAACACCCATTGAAAAACAAAACGAGAAAGGTAACTTTAGAGAATCATCAATTTGCAGCTTCAGTATTTCTGTTCTGGAAGTATTTTTTTGCCTTATATATGTATTATTACAATTTGTGCTCCAGAGGTTATCACTATTTTGATGCTTTGCAATACTTGAATGATGTTTTAAAATTTTATGTTTAATAAGTTTTTCCTATCCTGTTTGCTGCACCTGTTATCATATCCTTATAATTGTTGTTAATAATTTCAGGAGAACCTAATCAAGGAACAGAAATGTGTTTACTTTTGCAAAGTTCTAAAGAGAAAGGTATGTCATTCTGACAAGTTAGAAATGTACTGTCCCAACTCGTTAAACTAACTTTCTTTGTTTTGTTTGAAGGACGCAGTCCTCTGATGGAGCCTCTGGCAGGTGGTGAGAGCACCATTACAAGGGAAAAACCTTTCATCCTCATCGATTTGTCTGCTGCAGATACATCTGTCCATGAGAGTATTTATAATAGTGACCATTGCACAGTCCTCATGGAGACAAAATCATAATTTCATACTGAGGACACCTTGTATTGAGTTGGGTAACATTACTATCGTGCTAAATGATTAGGTTCAGACCGATTTGGCAGCTCAAAACTGGACATTCATGAGTTGCAGCGAGTCATCAGCTACAGTAGTGGTGATACCACCACAATCTATACCTCATGGCTCGCACATCCCCCTCAACCAAGCTGGGTAGCAACTTTGGCTCAATGAAGGGTATAGTAGAAGGGTGGTGCTAACCTTGTGAAGCTAAAATACAGGATTACATGTGTGTAAGCAGCAGAGACAAGATGTTACAGTTTGAGCTAATGGATCCAATGCAATGGATCAGATCTAAGCCCTGCAGTCCTGCTGCATCCAGTTGTGAATGGTGGTGAAAAAGTAAGCAACCAACAGGAGAAGGGGCTCAGTAGACATTCCCATTCTCCAAGAATGAGGGTAGTCATTACATCAGTGCAAAAGACAACGATGAAGCATTTGCATCCATCTTCAGCCAAGTGATTGATCCCATCTCAGTCTGTTCCTGTGATTTGATTTATTGTCACGTGTGCAGTGAGAAACTTTGTTTGCAAGCGGTACAGGCAGATTATAGTAAGCAAGGACATACAGATCATAGGGTGTAAAGAACTTGGACAGAGTGAGGCATGCAGGTTACACTGCACAGGACGTGTGCAAAGCAAGATCAACATTAACGAGATCAACATTGTTAGAGGTCAGAGTCCATTCATCAGTCTAATAACAGCAGGGAAGAAGCTGTTCTTGAACCTGTTGGTGCGTGTGTTCAAGCTTCTGTATCTTCTGCCTGACTGAAGAGGTTGTAGGAGAGCATTACTGGGGTGGGAGGTGTCTTTGATGGTGTTGGCAGCCTTTCTGTGGCACTGAGAGGTGTAAATGGAGTCTATGGATAGAGGATTCTCTGATAGTCTGGGCTGTGCACACCACCTTCTCTAGTTTCTTACAGTCCTGGGCAGAGCAGTTGCTGTATCAGGCCATTATTCACCCAGATAGTATGCTTTCTGTGGTGCATCTGTAAATGGTATGGTGAGAGTCTTTATGGACATGACAGATTTCCTAAGCCACCTGAGGAAGAAGAAGCATTGTTGTGCCTTCTTGACCATCGCATCTATGTGGTAATTCCAGGATAGGCTGTCGATTATCGTCACTCCTAGGAACTTGACGCTGTCAGCTCTCTCAACCTCTGCTCCGTTGATGTAGATGAGGGCATGGTGGGCACCATTCCAAAATCCAGTTATCAGCCAGTTCATTTCACTCCTTATGGTATCTAGAAATGGCTGAGCACACCGAATGCACTGGCCCAGACAAACTCCCAGCTGTAATACTGAAAATTTGTGACCTGTACCTATAGTCAACCTATTCCAGTACAGGTACAACATTAGCATCTACCCCAAAAAAGTACAAGTTACCCAGGCATGTTCCGTCTACAAAATACAGAAAGCTTAATCTGACCAATTACCACTCCATCAGTCTACTGTCAACTGTCAGCAAAGTAATGGATGGTATTACATACAGTGATATCAACCCTGGCATCAAACCTCCCCCGCACCCCCCCAACTCCGTAAAGCTGAAGTCATTTGGGATTAGGGGAGACATCTTCACATGCCAAAGTCACATCAAGCATGAGGAAGATAGATGTGGATTGTTGGAGGCCATTCATCTCACCCTGAGGACATCTCTTCAGAATTTCCTCAGGGGACTTCCAGCCATCTTCATAGATGATCTTCCTTCATCATAAGGTCAAATATAAAGACCTTCATGGATGATTGCACAATATTCATGACTTCTCCAATACTAACTGTGTCCATATGTAGCAAGACCTGGACAACATCTAGGGTTGGGCTGATACATAATAATAATATTCACACTATATAGGTGCCAGACAATGACCATCTCCAACAGGAGAGAATCTAACCATTGCCCTTTGACATTTAATGGCACAACCATCGCTCAATCATCATGATTAACATTGTGGGGCTTACCATTGAGGAAAAATTATCTAATCCAGCCATATTAATACTGTGGCTCCAAAAGCAGGTCAGTCTGATATGGGCACTGGACTCAAAACGTTACCTCTGCTTCCTTCCCACAAATGCTGCCAGATCTGTTGAGTTTCTCTATCAACTTGTATTTTTGTTAATTGAAGCCTGTATTGTTCTATTTAAAAGGGGATTTACACTGAATTTCAGCAATTGCAGCTTTGCTTTTTCCTACTAAATCAATGATTAAGTTAGTAAGTGATTAAGCTTGTCAATAATAACAATAATAGAGACAGAGAAATGGAAACAACATTTTGTCAACCCTGTCAGTGTTTCAATGACTTGCAGTGGAGTAGTGCTTGTTGAGGACAGCCCTACGAGGTGTCTCAGAGGTATTTACGTACAGTATCCCAGGATTTAGAATATAGTTGATTGCCTGGTGCTTATAAAGAGAGATTGAAATTTTGTACTGTGTACCACAAAAAGTCTTTCCTAAAGAAATATTTGTGATAATGTCATCTGCATAATCCACTTTATTTGGAGAAGAAAGTTTTTTTTTTAATTGTCATTCATTGAATTTAGTTTATACATGGCTTAAAGAGCTGTGTGGCTGTCAGAGGTTTCAATTCATGGGCATCTGGCACCATTAATGGAGAAACAGGGAGTTGTTCATTTAGAATAGGCTCTACTTAAACAGGGCTGGCACCAGTGTACTAATGAATTTAATACCTTGACTGATAGATGGAGCTTTAAAATAATAAATAAAAGGGTTCACATAAGAATAAATTTATAAATCTGAAAAGAGAAGTCAAGGTAGAGCCGTGATTTGAATAAAATCAAACAAACTATGACATGAAGGGACAGGAAGTTTAGCAAAAGTAATTTACCAATAGCATCTAAGGCTACATCATGAAGTAAAGCATTAAAATTAAAGGTGCTGTACCTGAATGCACAAAATATAACAATTGAATTAATGACTCAGATCGAGATTGTTACAGAGATAGTAGGAACTGCCGATGCTGGAGAATCTGAGATAACAAGGAGTAGAGCTGGATGAACACAGTAGGCCAAGCAGCATCAGAGGAGCAGGAAAGCTGACGTTTCGGGTCGAGACCCTTCTTCAGAAATGGGGGAGGGGAAGGGGATTCTGAAATAAATAGGGAGAGAGGGGCAGGCGGATAGAAGATGGGTAAAGGAGAAGATAGGTGGAGAGGAGACAGACAGGTCAAAGAGGCGGGGATGGAGCCAGTAAAGGTGAATGTAGGTGGGGAGTTAGGGAGGTGAAAGGTCAGTCCAGGGAGGACAGACAGGTCAAGGAGGCAGGATGAGGTTACTGGGTAGGAGATGGGGGTGGGACTTGAGGTGGGAGGAATGGTTAGGGAGGCAGGGACGAGCTGGGTTGGTTTTGGGATGCGGTCGTGGGAGGGGAGATTTTGAAGCTTGTGAAGTCCACATTGATACCCTTGGGCTGCAGGGTTCCCAAGCGAAATATGAGATACTGTTCCTGCAGCTTTCGGGTGGCATCATTGTGGCAATGCAGGACACCCAGGATGGACATGTCATCCAAGGAGTGGGAGGGAGAGTTGAAATGGTTCGTGACTGGGAGGTGTAGTTGTTTCTTGCGAACCGAGCGTAGGTGTTCTGCAAAGCGGTCCCCAAGCCTCCGCTTGGTTTCCCCAATGTAGAGGAGGCCACAACGGGAAGAGCAGATGCAGCATACCACATTAGCAGATGTGCAGGTGAACATCTGTTTGATGTGGAAGGTCTTCTTAGGGCCTGGGATGGGGGTGAGGGGGGAGGTGTAGGGGCAGGTGTAGCACTTGCTTTGGTTGCAGGGAAAAGTGCCGGGTGTGGTGGGGCTGGAGGGGAGTGTGGAGTGGACAAGGGAGTCACGCAGAGAGTGGTCCGTCCGGAAAGCAGATAAGGGTGGGGAGGGAAAAATGTCTTTGGTAGTGGTGTCAGATTGCAGATGGCGGAAGTGTCGGAGGATGATGCGTTGGATTCGGAGGTTGGTGGGCTGGTACGTGAGGACAAGGGGGATTCTGTTTTGGTTGTTATTGCGGGGAGGGGGTGTGAGGGATGAGTTGCGGGAAATGCGAGAGACACGGTCGAGGGATTTTTCGACCACTGTGGAGGGGAAGTTGTGGTCCTTGAAAAACGAGGACATCTGGGATGTCCGGGAGTGGAATGCCTCATCTTGGGAGCAGATGCGGCGGAGGTGAAGGAATTGGGAATAGGGGATGGCCTTTTTGCAGGAAGGTGGGTGAGAGGAGGTGTATTCTAGGTAGCTTGGGAGTCGGTGGGCTCGAAATGGATATCGGTTTCCAGGTGGATGCCAGAGATGGAGACAGAGAGGTCCAGGAAGGAGAGAGAGGTGTCAGAGATGGTCCAGGTGAACTTAAGGTTGGGGTGGAAGGTGTTAATGAAGTGGATGAACTGTTGGGAGCACGAGGCGGTGCCGATACAGTCATCAATGTAATGGAGGAAGAGGTGGGGGATAGGGCCAGTGTAGCTTTGGAAGACGGATTGTTCCACATATCCTACAAAGAGGCAGGCATAGCTTGGGCCCATGCGGGTACCCATGGCCACCCCCTTTGTCTGTAGGAAGTGGGAGGAATTGAAGGAGAAGTTGTTAAAGGTGAGGACGAGTTCAGCTAAGTGGATAAGGGTGTCAGTGGAGGGGGACTGGTCGGGCCTGCGGGACAGGAAGAAGCGGAGGGCCTTTAAGCCATCTGCATGGGGAATGCAAGTGTACAGGGACGTCCATGGTAAAGATGAGGTGTTGGGGACCAGGGAATTGGAAGTTTTGGAGGAGATGGAGGGCGTGGGTGGTGTCATGGATGTAGGTGGGGAGTTCCTGGACCAAGGGGGAGAAAATGGAGTCGAGCTAAGTGGAGATGAGTTCAGTGGGGCAGGAGCAGGCAGAGACAATGGGTCGACCAGGTCAGTCAGGTTTGTGGATTTTGGGAAGGAGATAGAAATGGGCGGTGCAGGGTTGGGGAACGATGAGGTTAGAGGCTATGGGTGGGAGGTCACCTGAAGTGATGAGGCTGTGGATGGTCTGGGAGATGATGGTTTGGTGGGCGGGGGTGGGATCATGATCAAGGGGGCGGTAGGAGGAGGTGTCGGAGAGTTGGCGTCTGGCCTCAGTGATGTAGAGGTCAGTGCGCCATACTACAACTGCGCCTCCCTTGTCCACGGGCTTTATGGTGAGTTTTGGATTGGAGCGGAGGGCTGCACGTTCTGCGGGTGAGAGGTTGGAGTGGGTGAGAGGGGTGGAGAGGTTCAGGCGATTGATGTCTTGATGGCAGTTAGAGATGAAGAGGTCGAGGGAGGGTAGGAGGCCTTGGGGTGGTGTGCAGGAGCAGGGGGTGTGTTGGAGGCGGGAGAAGGGGTCAGTAGAGGGAGCGTTCGGCTCACGATTAAAGAAGTAAGCGCGGAGGCAGAGGCGGCAGAAGAACTGTTCAACGTCCAAACATGAGTTGTATTCGTCGATGTTTGGGTGGAGGGGGACAAAGGTGAGTCCTTTACTGAGGACTGACCGTTCATCCTCAGTAAGGGGGAGGTCTGGGGGGATGGTGGAGACTCGGCAGGGCAACTTCCCCTCCACAGTGGTCGAAAATGCCCTCGACCGTGTCTCTCGCACTTCCAGCAACTCATCCCTCACACCCCCTACCTGCAATAACAACCAAAACAGAATCCCCCTTGTCTTCACGTACCAGCCCACCAACCTCCGAATCCAACGCATCATCCTCCGACACTTCCGCCATCTGCAATCCGACCCCACCAAAGACATTTTTCCCTCCCCACCCTTATCGGCTTTCCGGATGGACCACTCTCTCCGTGACTCCCTTGTCCACTCCACACTCCCCTCCAGCCCCACCACACCCGGCACTTTTCCCTGCAACCACAGGAAGTGCTACACCTGCCCCTACACCTCCTCCCTCATCCCCATCCCAGGCCCCAAGAAGACTTTCCACATCAAGCAGATGTTCACCTGCACAACTGCTAATGTGGTATAGTGTATCCGCTGTTCCTGTTGTGGCCTCCTCTACATCAGGGAAACCAAGCGAAGGCTTGGGGACCGCTTTGCAGAACACCTACGCTCGGTTCACAATAAACAACTGCACCTCCCAGTCACGAACCATTTCAACTCTCCCTCCCACTCCTTGGACGATATGTCCATCCTGGGCCTCCTGCATTGCCACAACGATGCCACCCGAAAGGAACAGCATCTCATATTTCGCTTGGGAACCCTGCAGCCCAAGGTTTTCAATATGGACTTCACAAGCTTCAAAATCTCCCCTCCCCCTACCGCATCCCAAAACCAACCCAGCTCGTCCCCGTCTCCCTAACCATTCCTCCCACCTCAAGCCCCACCCCCATCTCCTACCCACTAACCTCATCCCGCCTCATTGACCTGTCAGTCCTCCCTGGACCGACCTATCCCCTCCCTAACTCCCCACCTACATTCACCTTTACTGGTTCCATCCCCGCCTCTTTGACCTGTCTGTCTCCTCTCCACCTATCTTCTCCTTTACCCATCTTCTATCCGCCACCCCCTCTCTTCCTATTTATTTCAGAAACCCCTTCCCCTCCCCCATTTCTGAAGAAGGGTCTCGAGCCGAAACGTCAGTTTTCCTGCTCCTCTGATGCTGCTTGGCCTACTGTATTCATCCAGCTCTATACCTTGTTATCTCAGATAGAGATTGATGTGTTTGACCTTGTAGCTATAAATGACATATAGGTGTAAAGTGACAAAAGTTGTGAACTAAATATTCCAAGTTTAGCTTATAGAAGAGTTAGACACATTGAAAAGGAAGTGGTATGGCTCTAGTAATAAATGACAAGGTGAAGACAATAGTGAGAAATTACCTTAATACAGAAAGTCAGGATGTTGAATGAGTATAGGTGGTACGAAGAAATAACGATGGTCAAGAAATATAAAAACAGATTTAAAGGACATTCACAGGTACATAAAAAAGGCAGACTTTGGTAAAATAAAAACAAAACAGAAATTGCTGGGGAAGATCAGCAAGTCTTACAGCATCTGTGGAGAGAAAACAGAGTTGATGTTTAAAGTCCTGTGACTCTTCTTTTGAGATGGAAACATTAACTCTATTTCTCTTTCCACAGATCTTGCCATGTCTGCTGAGTTTCTTTAGTAATTTCTGTTTCTTATTTCAGATTTCTACCATCCATAATATTTTGTTTTTATTAGTGGTTAGTAAGAATGGATCCCTTGGTGATGGGAAGAGGAAAATTTTAAATGGGAAATAACAATGGCAAAGGTGTTAATTAATCATTTTCTGTCCGACTTCACAGTAGAAGATGCAAGAATATGCCAGAAATTATGGGGTCCCTAAGTCTCATAAAAGGGAGGAATTTAAAGTAATTAATAATATTAATAGTCATTTGGTACTATAGAACTTGAATTTTGCTGAAAGATACATTACGTTGAAGCTTTTTGCCTTGCACTTGTCAGGACTTGAAAGTAAATTTCTGTAATTTTTTTATTTCTGTCATACGTTTGCTCACTGTGGCTGATTAATTTCCTCTTTTAGCTGACTGTGGTCCTTCTCCTGTGCTTCTCTAGTTTCCAAGCAGACTTCCCCATTCTGCAGTTCAATGTCTAGATGTGCCTCCAAATCCATTACTTGCCAACCCATACTGCTCATGACCTTCACTTTGGGCTTTTTCCCACCCTCTGGGTTGTCTTGAGCTTTGCCATCACTAATATGCACTGCTTCCCTCTAGGTCAGAGGGTTTCATCTCACTGTTGCCACCATGTAATAGTGTGAAATCTACACTGTTGTGAATGAACAGGGGAGTTTTTGAACATAATTGGATGCAGAAGATAGTTAGAGAGAACGTTTTATCTGCAGCCCTACAGATCCAAGCCATAGTTCCATGTGATCTGACGTCATTTTGAAATAGTTTCTTTCACACCTGCTCAGTAGCTATATTTAAGTCAAGATAATGTTCTCTTTCCTCATGTTCATCAACATTCTTCTATATGCTGGATCTTTGAAGTCCTCAACTGAGTCTTCTGCAGAAGAGCTGGTCTTTGATATCATTCTCCAGTGATATGACCCCAGAATTGCCCTTTTTCCTCCATCTTACTGATGTCCAATCATGTCCTGGTACAGATAGAATGCACATGCAAACGCCAATTCTTTGTCATTATCTAATGAGCACACAATGTCAGTGTTGGAGCTTGTGGCTGTGAGTGTCAGAGCAAGTGACAATGTTTCATCATCAATGATATGGTTTCCTTGCCCTTCTTCTTGGTATCACTGTTGCTGGGAAACTGACAGTTCTTGGATGGCTGAAAGCAAAAATTCAGAAGGGAAAGCCGGGATCAGAGAAAGAGCAGGTTTGGACAGGGTGACACTATAAGCAACTTGTACATCCAATATTGTAGAAAGGGGATAAGGTAGTAATTAAGAGGGAGCCTAAGACAGAAACATACTGTTATCTGGGATGACCAAAAATCCTTCCCACTTTTACCACCTGCCAGTAGTGTACATTGGAAGAATTTGCAGTTGATACTCAACCTGCGTGACACATTATGTGTGAACCTGTCTTCCACAGCCACCAAAGTCCTAGAATGGGGCTTAAACCCAGAGCTTCTGGCTCAGAGGCAGGCTAGCCACCCACTGTGCCTCATATCTCTTATAATTTTTGAATAATATTGAACTTAGTATTCAATATTTAGAGATTTACATTTGGACAATGTTTCTCATTTACATTTTATTATTATTAAAGCACATTGTTATTTTCTGACAAACAGATTATGAGAAAGAAGGTGGAGAGAAAGAAGATGGAGCCAAAGAAAGTGTTCCCACTTTACCATACTTGTTAATGAAGAAAGTATTTACATCAGCCTACATACTGCATGAAGGGCCCAAAACCATATGTGAAGAGAAAACACAGAGAAATTGTGGTAAGTAGAGTAAGCCTAATGACCAATGTGACTAATCACAGATAAATATTGGCGAGATTAGATATGAGATCAGATATTCAAGTAAATAGTAGATGCAAGATTCTGGTTTATGCCTTATCTACTATTTTTCCTTCCCTATCTCTCTCTTGTTTTTTAAGACACTCCTTAAAATCTACTTCTTTGATCACAAATTTGGTCAGCTGTGTGGAAATTTGCTTATTTGGCTTAGTGGCAAATTTTACCCATTAACACTTCTGTGAAGCACTTTAGTTAGGTGGTCTATTTTGTTAAAGGTACTATATAAATACAAGTTATCAGTTAATAATAGGTGCAAGGCTCCATATCGGCAACTTTAATCTTTGTTAACCATTACAAAATTCTGAACAAGGATCTCTAGATTCAGAACGTTAACTCTGTTTATGTCTCTACAGATGCTGCCAGACCAATTGAGTTTCTCCAGCACTTTTGTTTTTGTTACAAGATTCAGTATCTGGCTTAGCTCATATTTTGCACATCAGTCACAGTAAACACATAAGTGATGCACATCTACAGAACTTCAAATGGATTTTTTTTGGACGTCTTGAGTTTGAATTTGTCTTCAGTTCAAATATAAGAAACTTGTTTTAAGTTTAAGCTGCCTCCAATTTACTGGAATATGCTAATCTGTCTATTTCGAATGTTCTCACTGGTTACTAAATATGATACGATCACAGAACCACATGCTATCCTCTGTCTGAAAAAGTAGACATCAGTTTTTCGCCTCGTTCTGTAACACTGATCCCCGTGGGGTCGTTTCAAATTCCAAATATGTAGGTTTATATTAGTTGGGAGGCTAAAAACATTTAAGGTCTGAAGTAGAATTCCAACTCACCTCTAACACATCGAGTTCCAGTTTGAGTGGACATGGGATGAGGAGCAAGAGGCCCACCAATATTCAGGATTGGGTCAGTTGTTGAAACCTTTTAAGGAGGTTATATGCCTTCATCTTAACAGTGATTTAGCCTCAGAAAACCCAGCAGGCAAAAGGATGCAAAAAGGACTGGATCATTAATATTAATGCATTTAGTCATTCAGTACTGCAAAACTTGAGTATTGCTAAAAGAAAAGTTACATTGTGTTGAAGCTGAGTTGAAACCGACTGTGAGACTGCTTGCAAAATTCTAAACAACAATATCCAATGTTAGATGAGATACAATAATTTTGTTACATTTACTAAATAATTGTGAGTATACTAGGAATTATGCAGACAACTGGATTACAATTGTCAGTCTGGCTCATAATATGGCACATTTGCATGTGCTGGAAGCTACATCCATTAAAACACAGATCCCTCTTCTTTGCAAACAAAAGAAAAATACACATGCTGCACTTGTTGCAACTCAATAAAATAGGCATTCCCTCTCTGGTTCATTCGTCAGGGCTGTGCCTTGACCAATCAGAATCAACCTACTTGGTTTAAATTTAAACAAAGCTTGGCAGTTAAATGTCAGTCATCATTTAACTGATACATGCTGCATGGCCTTTACAAATCAGAATCCACTTGCCAACAATTAGCACTGTCTCCTCATACGTTATAAAGATGTTGTTCATCTTTGTATTCTTCTTAATTTTTCTAATGAATACAGTATGAAAAGTTCCCACAAAAATTGTATCTTTCTTGCACAGTATGTTCATTTGTAGCACTACTTGAGTCAGCTGTTTTATCTTCACCAAGCAAGCTTTACCTGTAAAGTGCCTACCTAGAATACTCCTCCTCCCACCCACCTTCCTGCAAAAATGCTATCCCCTATTCCCAATTCCTTTGCCTCCGCCGCATCTGCTCCCAGGATGAGGCATTCCACTCCCGTACATCTCAGTTGTCCTCGTTTTTCAAGGACCGTAACTTCCCCTCCTCGGTGGTCGAGAACGCCCTCAACCGTGTCTCCCACATCTCCCGCACCTCATCCCTCACACCCCGTCCACGCAATAAAAACCAAAAAAGAATCCCCCTCGTCCTCACGTACCACCCCACCAACCTCCGGATCCAACGCATCATCCTCCGACACTTCCGCCATCTGCAATCCGACCCCACCACCAAAGACATCTTTCCCTCCCCACCCTTATCTGCTTTCCGGAGGGACAACTCTCTCCGTGACTCCCTTGTCCGCTCCACACTCCCCTCCAGCTCCACCACACCCGGCACTTTTCCCTGCAACCGCAGGAAGTGCTACACCTGCCCCCATACCTCCTCCCTCACCCCCATCCCAGGCCCCAAGAAGACTTTCCACATCAAGCAGATGTTCACCTGCACATCTGCCAATGTGGTATACTGCATCCGCTGTACCCGGTGTGGCTTCCTCTACATCGGGGAAACCAAGCGGAGACTCGGGGACCGCTTTGCAGAACACCTACGCTCGATTCGCAACAAACAACTGCACCTCCCAGTCGCGAACCATTTCAACTCCCCCTCCCATTCCTCAGACGACATGTCCATCCTGGGCCTCCTGCAGTGCCACAACGATGCCACCCGAAGGTTGCAGGAACAGCAACTCATATTCCGCTTGGGAACCCTGCAGCCCAATGGTATCAATGTGGATTTCACAAGTTTCAAAATCTCCCCTCCCCCCACCGCATCCCAAAACCAGTCCAGCTCGTCCCTGCCTCCCTAACCTGTTCTTCCTCCCACCTATCCCCTCCTCCCACCTCAAGCCGCACCTCCATCTCCTACCGACCAACCTCATCCCGCCCCCTTGACCTGTCCGTCCTCCCTGGACTGACCTATCCCCTTCCTAACTCCCTACCTACACTCACCTTTCCTGGCTCCATCCCCGCCTCTTCGACCTGTTTGTTTCCTCTCCACCTATCCTCTCCTCTCTCCCTCTTCTATCCGCCTCCCACTCTCTCCCTATTTATTTCAAAACCCCCTTCCCCTCCCCCTTTTCTGATGAAGGGTCTAGGCCCGAAACGTCAGCCTCTCTGCTCCTATGATGCTGCTTGACCTGCTGTGTTCATCCAGCCCTGCACCTTGTTGTCTCAAGTGCCTGCAATCTGTCTGCTTACCCCAGTGCTGTCAGACACCTTTAATACTATGTCCATCCTGCAATCTTTCCCACAAACCATGGGTTTTATCCCCTGCCCACTAGTTTACTCTCCTGTAATCTGTCACTTCTGCTATTTTCTTGCTTTGAACATATAGCCCTGTAAACATCAGGGCCTTACTTTCATCTCCTACCTCTTCAGAGTTATTCTGAGAAACCTTGTGATTGCAATCCCATAACTCTTGTTAGAAGAGAGCATATTGGAAATCTTGTGATGATACAGCCAGGACAGCTCTGACACTCTCTATATTTGAATAATAAATTAGATGGCATAGTGCCTATTGTGGAACGAAACCCCAGGAATCAACACGCTCATGTAGAACCAAATCTAGAAACAAAACTAATGCTAGGGCGTAACTTCAAGTAGAAATGCCTATTATTATCATACATAATTGTATCTTTCCTCCTTAACAGAAGTCTTTCCGCAATCTGTATTCATGGGCTTATTTAATTGGCAGTAAAGGAGTCAAAATGGTTTTTGTTTCACAGCTTGTAATACTTGATTTACATTTACATTTCAAATATGTATTAAATGTAATAAGTCTTGTTAACTTTCTGCAGATCTACATAACAGTTGGAACGATCTTCTTAATCTATGGGCTAGAACCTACAGATTGCAGCCATTGTGGAAGATTAGGAACTACTTTGGAGAAAAAATTGCATTTTATTTTGCTGTGATGGAACATCTTTTACTACAGTTAGTTGTACCTGCGTCCATTGGTTTGGTTGTTTTCATCTTTGGCCTTTATCACAGGTACTGCAATTCACATGTTCATTTTCTAACAGCAATTTGTGATAATGGTCAAAAACACAGGTAGCATTAATGGAGCTTTATTTTGTGTCTTAAGCTCATACTACCCGACTCAGTGGTGACCCGTCCCAATGCCAAATCCCTAAGGACCATCTAGTAACCCCAACATGTATGTGGTGCTTGTGGCTGAGCTGGTGCTTGCAATAAGTGTTATTGATTGATGCTGCTTTGTCAGAAATGGCAGCGGTATATCTGTTTCTTCTATGAAAGAGACGAAAGAATCAATTACAAGAGGAAGACGACACTTGTCATTAGGCTATAGCATCCCCTAATAATAGCTATATGGTAGAACAGAGAAAAAAATTAGGAGAAAATGAGTGCATGTTAAAAAAAAGCAGTTTATTAATCATGGGTCACTTTAATTTTTCATGTAGATCGGAATAGTCCGATTCATAGAGGTAGCCACAAGGAAGACTTCATAGTGTATATCTGGGACAGTTTCCTATAACCATATGTTGTGGATCCAACCAGGAATCAGGCTATTTTAGACATGGTGATGGGTAAAAAGGCAGATTTAATAATAAATTCAGAGTAAAAGATGTCCTAAAAAAAACAGTGACAGTCTCTCATCTGCACACACTCATCCTCACCTTGGCATCACAAACCCTCTGTGATGCCTAAGCACTTGCTCAGGACATGTCCCCCACCTGCACCAACAGTAATAGCTGAGATAACAACTTTCATCTTTGTCAATACATGCATCTCTCTCATTCCATAAGGAAAACAGCCCACAAGAGGCCCGAAAGAGTCAAGTCAGGTGGTGGGCTGTTTGTCATTCAACTCCTTCCCCTTATGAGGAGAGGGCCCTGACTCTGATCACCCTAAGGACTGCCCAAAGCCCTAGTCTTGTTTTGGATGCTCCTTGGTTAACTGTGCTTGGACCTTTTGAGTGCAGTCTCTTTCCTTTTACTGAGGACTGCTGACAACCATGATAAGCTTCCAGGCTTTGTATCTTTGCTAAACAGCAGGGCAAGACAAGGAAAGGCAGGGAGGCTGTGATCACGCAGCTAGGCTCAGACTGAGTGAGCATAATGACAGCAAGCAATGAGCCCAAAGATGCAGCCTGGTCCGGTCCATGAGCTGGGTACATATCCCTGAGAGCACAGTGTCCTCACTGCAGCGTTACATTGAGAGGTATCAGTGCAGCCTGAAGCGCAGCATTGAAGCAAAGAAGCATCCTGTAATTGGATCGCAGATGTGCCATGAGGGTTGTTAGAGGCTGGCATTTGTCAGATGCCAACGTCTGTGGACGTGGGGTGCACGTGGCCAGTTCCCATGAAGCGTGGTCTGAGGTGCTGGTGCCCACTATCCAACATGGAGGAGTTCAGAGCTAGTGATAAACTAAATTCACCTGATGCCATTGCAAGAATTCTCGATGGCTAGCTCCTTTGATGAGATGTGAAGCTGAATATTAATGAGGTGAATTGTGGCATTAATAAGGCATTTAACAAGTTGTAATCCTCCTTAGTTGGCACCTCACCACTGCTAATGAGAAATTCACCATTCCACATGACGAATGCATTATATATCCAGTGAGATGCTCCCAGTGTCAAGATAGGGTTCTTATCCCATTCTACCACAAATCTATTATAGCTGTCATTGCTCAGACTCCTATAAAAGTCTGCTCTGTATATATAAACAGGTAGAAGGATCTTAAAACAATCATCAAACTGAAGTCTCTATCTGTTTCCCCAACTGTCTTTTATGAAGACTCACATCCAGATAAATCACACCCCGTGCTCAAATCCTTAACCTACAACATAACTGATCCATTTAAGAGGTGTTTATTCTATTGAAATAATGGCAGACACTCCCAAGTTCCAGTACCTGATTCATAGGACTGGATTTTCTGTGGAGTGGCGGTCACACTCAGATTGCCACTCTGCTCCCTTTTACTTGATGAAAGATCTTCACATTTCTGAGAGGAAATTCCAATCAGGGCTCTTTCAGAAATGCAGAGCCATACAGTACATCTGACAGGCTAGGTGGTTGACAGTGAACAAGAAGATCTTAGCTTGCAGAAGTATATAAACAGATTAGTCAGGTGGGCAGATCAGTGGTAGACTGATCAGTGAAAGGTGATGCACTTTGGAAATGTAACAAGACAAAGGAGTACTCAGTAAATGGCAGAGCACCTTGGGTGACACAGTGGCTCAATGGTTAGCACTGCTGCCTCACAGTGCCAGGGACCCGGGTTCGATTCCACCCTCGGGCGACTGTCTGTGTGGAGTTTGCACATCCTTCTCGTGTCTGTGTGTGGGTTTCCACCAGATGCTCCAGTTTCCTCCCACAGTCCAAAGATGTGCAGGTTAGGTGGATTGGTTATGCTAAATTGCCCATAGTGACCAGGGATGTGTAGATTAGGTGCATTATCCATGGGAAATACAGGGATAGGATGGGGGAATGGGTCTAGGTGGGATGCTCTTCGGAGGGTCAAAGTTGTCTTGTTGGGCTGAATGGCCTGTTTCCACACTGACGGGATTCTATAATTCACTAGAAAGCTCAGAGGAACAGAGGGATCTAGGAGTGCTTGTCCACAAATCCCTGAAGGTGGCAGGATAGATAAAGGCATATGGGACACTTGTCTTTACCAGTTGAGACATAGATTATCAGAACAGAAAGGTTATGTTGGAGCTGTACAGAGCTTGGGTGAGGCCACAGCTTGGGTACTGTGTGGAGTTCTCGTCACTAAACTATAGAATGGATGTGATTGCACTGGAGGGGGTGGAGAGGAGATTCACCAGGATGTTGCCTCGGATTGAACAGCTTAGCTGTGATGAGAGGCTGGATAAGCCTGGGCTGTTTTCTTGGAGTAGAGAAGATTGAGGGGGTCCTGATAGAGGTGTATAAGATTATGAGGGTCGTGGACAGGGTGAACAAAGAGCTGCTGTTCCCCATCGTTGAAGTGTTAGTAATAAGGAACCAAACTTTTCAGATGGAAAACAGAAGGTTTAGAGGGGATTTGAGAATTTTTTTATTCACCCAGTGGGTGGAATGCACTGCCCAGGAGGGTAGTTGAGATGTGTAACCTCACAACTTTTAAAAAATACTTGGATGAGCAATTGAAATGTCAAAACATTCGAGGCTCCACCCCTGTGCTGGAAAGTGAGACCAGTGTAAATTTAGTGTAGTTTTGGCAGTACAGACTAAATAGGCTGAAGGGCCTCTTCTGTACTATTTGATTGTATGATTCTAGGTCCCTAGTGATGCGGAACAATCAGGGGAAAGCAAATTTCGCACTTGCTGCCTTCTGTAACTTAAATCTAACATCATAGGCAGCACTCCAACAGCTCCTGAGGTCAGATCAAGGTGCCAGGTGCTTAAGGGATTGTGTACCAGATGAGTAGGGCATCAGATGGGTAGAGTGGCAGGATGTAAGGGGAGAACGGGTCAGTTAAGCAGGGTTAAGAAAGGGTCATTTACGGCAGATGGAAGATATCGAATACAACACGGGTGGGCCAGTGTCTGGTCTTGTGGAAAAGAGGGTTTGCGTTGAGTCACAGGATTAGGGAGAATGATGGGTGAGTGTTTGGTGGGTGGGGTTTGGTACTATGTTCGATAGCTGTGGGACAGTGTTTTGTGTCCTATTTGGGGAAAGTGGTTGACATGTCAGATGGTGTGAGGAGGGAGGATGTTGGATTTTAGCTGCAATGGTGGGGTTTGGAGTGCCTTGGAGTCCTGGAGGAAGTGCAGTGGACAGGGGTGGGGAGTTAGGATGGCAAGAAGGTATAGGGTCCAGTCTTGGGGGGAAAGGAGGGTGTCAGGCTAGGATCTGTGTTTGTATGTATGGGGTTTGGGGGAGGTATGGTTCAGGGTGTGTGTGGTAAGTTGAGTAATTCCTCAGGAATTAGACTGGATTTTTAATTGTCTCACTTTTCCTGAGTAACTATTTACTTAAGTGCAGCAGAACCTTCTGAATTCTTCAACTTAAATGGATACTTTTGGAGGGTTCCAAAAACAGAGGATATGCATATTGGAATCTTCAATTTCCCAGACAATGCCTTAAATGTGCTATGTCGAGGGTTTTGCAGTGTCCCCATGTAGAACTCTCATCTACCCTGCAGAAACAGTTTTCTCACTATCAAAATGTCTAGGTTATAACGAGCAAATGTTACAGGCTTGCTGAACAGCACTAGTAGAGCCATACAGTCTGTTCTACATTCTGTGAAGTAATTGAAGTTCTAGGTTGTGTTACAGTTAATTAACTACATTACTTCTATAGCTGTAGCAGTGAGCAAAACATGCTCAGGTAAATATGATTACTATGTCATCACTTAAAACACAATGCTCAGTGTGAATGAATATTTCGCCAATGTTCACATGTTACTTATTTCTCTTTCCAGTGCATTATGTTACAATGCCCACAAAGACATGAACTCATTCTTATTTGGATATAATTGTAGCATCATCTGTTCAACTCCAAATATAGCCTCAGAAGTGGCAGATAAGGCATTGGATCCAATTAGGTAAATGCTTATTCAGGAATATATTCCAGATTATTTTTATACCCGACTATAAAATATTGTTTTAACATATAGTGTGAAAATATTTCTAATGAAATCTCATAAAACAAGATCATGCTCAGAGCTTATGAAAGTTCCAAAACAGGCTCAGCATAGCCTTGCATTATGTTAAATAATATCAGAAGAGGACTTGTGGTCAACACTTCCAGGAGAAATTTGGAGGCTGTCTCCAACAAAAAATGTGAGTTACGTTGCAAGTCATAATGTAAAAGAATGAATATAAATAAAATCACTGCCTTGGAGCATGGAGAAATCCTTGTTTTTGAAATAATTTCAGAGCCCAATAGGAATGAAACCACAATATCCCCCAGTTTGGATTTTTAAATGCTTCTCTTTAGAAACTAAATAGAGAATGACTTCATTTGTATTTTTCCAATCTCAAACTGTTAATTTTGTGATGAATTGCAAACATATTTATTGTGGACCATGTCCATAAGATACCATTCTTTTCTAATCTCATTTCACTTAAGACCTCAAAAGCAGAGAAATAGACATTGAGTTACATTTAGTTGAAAACAACTAGACTTCATAATTGAAACAACACATTCTTAATATTAACGTTTGAATCTCAAGCATTCACTTTTATGTTTAGAGAAATTAAATCGGTAGAATTGATTGCATAAGACATGTATTTACTTCCTGTTCTATGTTTTACAATGATGTAGACTTCTGAAAGTGTTTTTCCCCCCAAAAGTGTGTGCATAAGAAATAGGGAAGTGGTTTGAATACAATTAGTGCGTTGGAATATTTGTAATAAACATTTGCTCAGATGTTAGTTCATCTCCATTATTTTGTGAAAGTGAATGTTGTGTGTTTGCATTTTAAATCATTGTTTTAGTTGTACAATAAAGCTACCTTTGCATTTCTGTGATGTCTGAATATCAAATCAAATGCTAGTTTATATTGAATTCATGAAGTTTATATCATTCAAATATGTGAGGTCTGATTACATGCACTGTTATTTTGAATAGGTTTTGAGAAAAAATGGTACTTGATCAAATTTTGAATACATTTCAGGAACATGTTGAATATTCTGACCATTATATTATAAGCCAGAATATTGTAGAGTCTGAAGGAATAGGATAGAAGATGGGAGAAAGAGGTGATGGTACTGAAAAGTTGGGAAGGAAAGTGGAGAGAGGTAGCGTGCCCTTTGCCTTCCAATGCCATGGCATTTTGCTAGTGGCAGGTAAGCTGGTGGATGGCCCTCATGCCCAGAAGCCTGACTTAAGTGGCCAATTAGGGGCTGCTTCCTGCCACTGCTGGGATTTTACCAGCAACAGGTATGATCTTCTTTATCTGTTTGGAGCCTGCCAATTGAACCATAGTGGCCTCCCTATGGGGTTAGTGTACTCTGATCAAACGAGCTGTGGTCCATCAAGGAACTCCACCCCACAGAGAAATAGTGACCATGCAGCAATGCCCATCACGCTTTGCCAGAGTTTTACCTGGCTCTGATGACCCTGACTCCATTTACCTATATTTGAAAGTGTGTCTGTGTCATCTGCCAGTGTGTTAGTGAAAATTTAACTTGATCTCTGAGAGTAAAAGTTGAAATAACAGGAGAAAAATTTACAGTGATATTGCAAGCATCTGTTTTTTGTGTTATAAAATTTTGTTCTTTTACTTGGGAATCTTGCATATTAGACATTTAATTTGTCAGAGTCACTTTATTTTAACTGTCCACTGAAATGAAAATAAAATCAGTATTCACTTGTTTGGAGCAAAATTTAACAAAGTTACTTATGCCTCAACTGCTTCATGTGGTTAAACTGAGATTGTCTTACTCTTAATTAGGTTTTAATTGCAAACCTGAAGTTCTGTCTACATTCAAACTGAAATGGTATTCTGGAATTGGATTTTATCAATCAAATTATTCTCCCCACCTTTCCTGAAGGCACCTGGTTTAAAATGTCCCAGTAACATGTCCAAGTGGCTACTCAAAGCTGAGCCTAAACAATGAATGCCATTCAGCTATTTGACTGTGCTTACAATTATAAGTGCCATTTGCTATTCTATGAAGCACTTTATCCTTTATAACAAGGTCATTGCCTATTGTGCTTAGAATGACATTTTCTCTGATACAGAAACTGTAAAATGTATTACATATGAACATACTTCTAATATATGTCACAAGTAGCACATTCCCCTTAAGTAAAAATCTTAACTGTTTTCATCCTCAGAGTTATTTTTGAAGTCTTCTTCTCCCTTCTATATTTGCTCAACCTGATCCAAAATTGCAAAGGCACTAAGCTCTTTTAAATAAAAGAAGCCGAAATTAAATTCTACAGATATTTCTCCTGGAGTGTCGCAGGCTTATAGAGGTTTATAAAATCATGAGGGACATGGATAGGATGAATTGCCAAAGTCTTTTTCCCAGGGTAGGGGAGTCCAAAACTAGAGGGTATAGGTTTAAGGTGAGAGGAGAAAGATTTAAAAGGGACCTGAGGGCAACTTTTTGACCCAGAGTGTGGTGCATGTATGGAATGAGCTGCCAGAGGAAGTGGTGGAGGCTGGTACAATAACGACATTTAAAGGGCATCTGGATGGGTACATGAATAGGAAAAGTGTAGAGGGATATGGGCCAAATGCTGGCAAATGGGACTAAGGTATTTAGGATATCTGGTTGGCATGGATGAATTGGACCAAAGGGTCTGTTTCCTTGATGTACGATTGTATGACTCTATAAGAGTTATAAATTGCCATCATTTGGATTAATTTAGGTTTTCATTCATTAGAGCCATCCACTTGCAATTCTAACTTTTGAGCTCTATTACATTGTATTTTTCTTTTGAGATAGTTCAAATGTCTCTTAAAATAAAATTCACAGATGTGAAATGCAAAGGCCAGTTTTGACCCAGGGAATGTGTTCCTTAAGGTGCTGAGCATAAGCAAGAACATAAGAACATAAGAACTAGGAGCAGGAGTAGGCCGTCTGGCCCTTCGAGCCTGCTCCGCCATTCAATAAGATCATGGCTGATCCTTTCATGGACTCAGATCCACTTACCCGCGTTCTCACCGTATCCCTTAATTCCTTTATTGTTCAAAAAAAATCTACCTTTTTTTTAAAAGCGTTTACTGAAGTAGCGTCAACTACTTCAGGTGGCAGAAACAGCTGGAGGTTTAATATGATCAGTGGAGGTGATCCAAAACTTCCTCCATTTGGTTGGCACATGTCTTGTGATAGTCAATCAAATGAGAGGGAACAGACACTGAGGGTTTTACCATCTCACATTCCTGTTTGCTTGCCAGTCACATATCCATTGTCAATATGCTGAGGATTGCTATTGTCAGGAAACTGAACTGGACCAATTGTGTTAATGTGGCTACAAAAGCAGATCAGATGGTAGGAATCCTGCAGTGAGTAACTCACTTCCTGCGCTCCCCCAATCCTGTCCAATATCTGCAAGATACAAGCCAAGAGTTTGATATAAGAGTACCACTTGCCTGGATGAATGCAACTGCAGTAACTCTTGTTGCATCATCCAGGACAAAGCTTCCGCCTTCATTAGAACTACATCCACAAACATTAACTCCACCTAAAACATGTGTAGCAGCAGTTTGCACCATCTACAAGATGTACTGCAGAAGTTCAGTAAAGCCCCTTAGACAATACCTTCCAAACCTGTTACCCCTTTAATCTAGAAGGACAAGAGCAGCAGAATTGTGGAAACACCATCCACCTGCAAGTTTCTGTCCAAGCCACTCACCATTCTTAGGAAAATGCGTCACCATTCCTTTAGTGTCATTGTGTCAAAATCCTGGAACTCCCTCCGTAACAGCATTGTGGGTGTAAGTACACCAAATGGTCTGCAGCAGATTTAGAAAATATGTGTAATAAATGCTAGCCTTTCCAGCAAAGCCCACATTCCCTGACTGAATAATAAATAGATCAGATGGGGTAAAACTGTAATCCTAATGTGAGTTCCTTTTCTCCTCAGCAAATTTATTGAAGCAGAGATAGGTTGGGGCCGTTCTGCTGGTTATTTACGAGAAGCCAGTTGGCTGACTCCATGAAGAAGGATCACTGGACTCAAAACATTAACTTTGCTTCCTCTCCACAGATGCTGCCAGACCCACTGAGTCTCTCCAGGAATTTCTGTGTTTGTTCCAGATCTTCAGCATCCAAAGTTCTTTGATTTATTGTAGTATTAATGTTGTCTTCCCTTTACTTTGATAATTCCCCTGAATTGTCCTGATGAGTGTCAGGTTTTGACAAAATGTGTCATGCTTTTAGCAGCACTCAAGCATTCACATTATCATGTCCACTGTATACAGTAGAGAAAAAAAGTCTTCTCTCATATTTCTTTATTTCAGAGGTATCTGTGACAATGTTGCTCAAAGGAGAAGGAATATTGAACACATTCTGAATAAGACTTGTACCACTGAAGCCCACGATGATTGCATTTTTCAGTAAGTGTGGAATTCCTGATAGATCAGTTCAATAAAAAGCATTCCATGGATCATAATTTTAATGCTGTCAACATTAGTTTTACCAATTTTTCTCAATCATCTAAAAAGGGCGTTGATTTAACTGCATTAATGTCTTCTGCATTATGATCATACCTGCACCAACCGAGGTTACCATGAAAGTCCCACCTTCTCAACCTCACCCCTTGCTGGAGGTGGTGTAACTGTCAGGCTAAACTCACTACCAGCCGTCTCTCACTCTCTCTCTCTGTCTGTCTCATGAGAGAGCAGCCTTCAGGTCCTCTGCGACTATAGGGATTTTACCTTTACGCTTTTAATAATGCAGCCTTCATGCAATTAGCCTCTATCATAATTGGCCTGGGACACATTAAGTGTACGAAAAAGGCAAGAAGGACCAATGCGTTGTATTTTCTACCTCATTTTCACATGGTGCAGCTGATTCATACAATTAAACTCATCATCCTGTACCATTCTCAATCCAGAGCCAGGTAGTCTCATTGGCCAGACAGACAGTATAGGAGATGTTTGAAAGGCTCTTATTAAATTTTAAAAGAATTGGGATGTACACAGGACAGAAAGAAACTGTAAAAGTCAAATGAAAGTATAATTCATCACATTTTAACACAATATACTTCAAATTTCTGTCTTCAACATAACCCCAATCTTTTATAATTCACCATTCAATCTGCTTGTCCAGCAATTCACTTTTTTTTCGACAAAAGTCATTTTCATTATCATTGTCACAGCATTAACAACAGCATTAGCTTTGAAAATTGGATGAATTACACCTTCATTTGCTGTTTACAGTTTGCTTTTGTGTAATTCACATGTCCAAGATTTATAAATTTCTAAAAGGTTTCATAAACACCCTGCTGTTTTTGAGGCAAAAAAAATTGAAAAGAGCACTTGAAATTCCCCTCTAAAACCAGTAGGCTATGAAACAATTGACAGGAGCATATATTGCTATCCTTGTTCAGCAGTATACAGCAGTTGTCCATATTAAGTGAGCATCTTGTAGTTACTGACCTGTTATGCACTTCAAGAAAAGTTGGTTAGGCTTTAGAAGAACTCAAAAAACTGAAGAGCATCCCGAGTGAACATGCCACTCAGTTCTGCTGAATTGCCATCATTTGAATATTAGAGCAGAACCCTGAATCTGATGTTAGGACCCTATTACCCATGTTTAGGCATCAGGTGTCCTGTCAGAGATGCCTGAATACCAAGGATATTTTGTGACAGGCATTCTTCAGCCACCCATTCAAGTATACCTAATATTGATAGCTCCAGTCAATTGGTCATACTTAAATAAGGCCCAGATTTAAAGTGGCTGGACTGTACACTCCAGTGAATTTCTACTTATATCAGGTAGGTGTTAAAGATTACATCAGAAATTCCTCAAGACAGCAACTGGATTTGCTTAAACTCAGAATTGTTCCACCACTGCAAATAAAATAAATAACCTTTTTTATTCACTGCTTCAGGAACCTAAGGTCAATAGTGAAACAAGTAAAATGTACAGTTTATCTCGAATCAGGGATAAGTGGGACTGTGGAGTAATCGGATAAGCCATGATTTTATTGAATGGCGGAACAGGCTGGAGAGGCAGAATAGCTTACCACTATACTTAATTTGCATGGCATGTTGTTTTAATGTGCCAAATATTTTTGTTATACATTCTATAGTTTCTCACTTTTTCTGTTTTCTTCTCAGAGTCCCTTCAGATGATACTGTTGAAGTACTCAAGTCCTCCTTTGACAATGCTGCTACACCAATATTTGGGCTTATTATCTGCATTTGGGGTAAAGATCTTTTTAAAATTACAATAAAGTATAGTTGTGGGGAGAAAATATCCAGACCATACATCATACCTGCAGGAAGATAAAAATATTTGAAGTATTCTTTGTGCAATGCAGAAATTCCATCTGTAGGGAACAGTAAACTCCACTGAAACACACATTATTCTTAACTCGATGAACTACACAAAAGCATACAAAATAGGAGCAGAAGTAGATCATTTGACTGCTTGAGCCTGATCCATCATTCAATAAGGCCATGGCTGATCTGTTTGTGTTTCAAATTCCACATTCCTACCTATCTCTGATAACTCTTGATTCCCTTACCCATTAAGGATCTATCCATCTCTGTCTTAAATATATTCAATGGCAGAGAGTTCAAAATAACACCACACTGAGAGAAAATTTTCCCTCATTAGTGCCCTGAAAGGGCAATGCCTAATGTCAAAATAGAGTACCCTAACTCTGGATTGACCCACAAGAGGAACTTTCCTTTCCACATTTATCTTGACAAGACCATTCAGAATCTTATACACATCAGTCAAATCACCCCTCATGCTTCTGAACTGCAATGAAAATAAGCCCAGCCTGTCTAGCCTCTCCTCATAAGACAATCCATTCATTCTGGGTATTGATCTAGTAAAGTTCTACTGAATGTTCTACTAAGGAAACAAAAAACTCTGCACAGTGGTTGAGATGTGGTCTCGCCAATGCCCTATATAACCAAAGCATATCATCCTTACTTTTATGTTCAATTCGTCCTGTCATAAAAGATAGAATTCAATTAGCTTACATAATAGATTACATACCATAGACATTCTGTGCTATTCTTTATAGATATTTTCTAATCAACCTGCTAAGAGATATTATCACACAACTCTGGAGCAGGTGAAACTTGAAACCAGGCCTCCTGGCCCAGAGGTAGGCATGCTACCACTGCACAACAAGAACCCTTGGCTGTTCTATTATATTCTGACCAATTATCTGACCTGCCACTTGTCTTTGTAGTTAAGTTTGTTTCTTTCAGTTTAATGTTTTCCCTAACTTCTCTAGTTAACCACATGCCGGTGGGTCCTCCCTTTAGAATCTTTGTTTATAACAGGAATATACTCATGCTGAATTCTGTTTGTCACTGTGCCTCTTGTTGATCTATTATACTTCAACTATCTCAGATCTCCTGGCCACATAATTGCGTTTATTTAGGTTTAAAGTACCGGTCTTGGATCATTCCTTTCCCTTTCAAACTGAATGTAAAGTTCAATCGTGTCGTGCTACCTAGGGATATCCCTGAGATCGCTAATGAATCCTGTCACATCACACAATACAAAGTCTAATATAATCTGTGTCTGGTCAGTTCCAGAATGTGCTGTTCTGAGAAACTATCTGGAAAGCACTTTATGAGCTCCTCATCCAGACTACTACTGCCAATCTGTTTTTTTTCCAATTTGTGTCTAGATTAAAGTTGCCAATGATCATTGCCATCCCTTCATTACAAAGACCAAATAATTCGTCCCGCATGCTTTGTTCCAGATTACGGTCACTGTTAAAGGGATTGTAGATCTCTCCAACTAATGACTCTTTCCCTTACTATTCTTCATCTCCACCCAAGTCAACTCTATATCCTAATCTCCTGAACCTAGGTCATCCCTGAATATACACAAATGCCATCCTTAATATTAATGATGATCTTCCTCCACTCTACATAATTTCTTACTTTTCTTGAGCCTGCTCCTGTCACTGCTTTCAAGGGCACACTCTCTCCTGTTCATCTAGGTGATGCTGATTGCCTGTCTTGGGGTCCTTCTCTTGCCTGCTCCTGCCGAGGATACTGACTGCCTGTCCCCTGCTGTGGACTGAGCACCCTTGCCTTCCTCAGCATTATTGACAGTGGGGTTGTTACCCCACTCCACCTCCTGAATATTGTGCTTTGAGACATACAAATAAATATCCAGTACAGTTCATTAGAGTGGAGATTATGTAGGCTCCTCACTGCATCTTCTTATTCATTTCAGAGCTTTGTAAATTGTACATTGCTAGGCAATTACTTCAGGCTAACACTGAAAGACAATTTCATTTAGAAGTACTAGAAGACAATTTTACTGGAACAGAAATGCTGAATAAGTACTAGTATTTTGCTTACATGCTGCTTAAAAATTGCTCCAAAATAATATCGGGTCCAAACCTTCTGTAACTCATTTCAGAATCCTTGAAGTATGGCTCTAATGAAACATTACCTGTCCAGTGAGCTCAATCAGTCTCTCTTTACTGTTTCATGTGAACTTATCAGTATACAGAAGAGAACAAAACTTCCTAGGAAGCCCAAAATCCTTGTGTAGTTTTCTGTGATTCTAAAGGTAGATTTTCACTATAAAAAGAAAGAAATAGGTTCTCAGCATTGACAGGTGAGAATTAAACTTGTCGGGTGAATTCGAAACAACTGTTATTTTTTAAATGTATGCCCAAAAACTAATACTCCAGTCACCTGAGATATCTCCCTCAGATATCTATCTGTACTGTCTTTATTATTCCCTCCGTATCCGCTAGGCCATTGTTAGTTCACTTAATCCTAACCATAACTTATCACCTTCTGATAAATTGGTTAAAACAAAGGCGTCTGTGTACTTTAATGCTTCGATATCTGAAATGTCTTCTGGGAATTGTGACAATCTCAAAAATATTACTAAAACTTAAATTTAGGAATTTTGTGTAATTGAGTAATAAGACCTCTGAACTTCTCTCTTTCTGAGGAATCCATGCTCTTCAATCTCTGCTCATGTCTTAGCTTCCTTTGAACAAAGCAAAATTTTCTGCAATATGTCAAATTTCAAGATCTCTGTGGTAAAGTATAGAGCGAACAACATGAACATAGTGGCTGGAAGTTCTCCCCCTGACCCCCACCAAACCCAGGAGCAGGCTGAGAGGGGAATAAATGTATAATTGGGTGATGTAGCAGGATGGTACTGTGCACATCGACAACCCACCTCAGCTGCCAAATGGTCTCAGTGTCTAATTAATATCCTCTTTTGGTCCACTGTGTGTGCCCATGCATTTGACAAAGTTGCCAGGTAAAGCCAAATTGCCTGACTCTGAGCTTTTGGAATGGGGAGTTGGGTGTATCTCCTGCTCGGTGATCAGCACCCCGGTTCCCTCCACCACTACTGGCCTCCCAACGGTGGGCTCCACAGGCCTCCTCACTGGGATATGCCTAAACTTTATATACAGCCACCAGTGATGATCTTTGTGGTCGATTGGCTACAGTACCAGCAGTGGCCACCATCTGATTGGCTAACAGCTCTGAGAATTTGGCCATTCTTCCAAATTAAGGCTGAAGCCACGACTGAGCCACTTGTAATGGCAGGTCCAGACTTTCCATTCTTACAGAGGCAGGCTCACCCAGATTTTCACCACTGCCTCCACAGAAACAATTTGTTACTTCCAGCAAGGACTGTTAGTTTCAGTGAACTTGCATCAATAAATTCAGAGTTTACTCTGCTTTGATTCGAAGCCTATTTCCAAATCCCTGGTAATTTCTCTAATGATGGCTGAAAATGCAAAGCTCTACATTTAATCGTGTAATTTAATGGAACAGAAAATAGCCCTCCAGGGGCCCAATTTGGCTGTGTTTCCAGGATGCTGTTGTGTAATCTGTAACAAGCAAACAGGCAACTTGGTCCCAAGCATCTCTCAATACCATGCATGAAGTGTGCCTACTAGATTATACATGAGAGCGTTACAACTTGGTTATTGTCATGTTTTTGCCTATTACCTAATCTTGGCTTTTCACTGATAGCCAGATAGAGTTTAGCAAAATAAAGTAGAAAATGATAGACTTGAACATCTGTGTTTTACTGTTTAACAAACTGAATCCTGTACTCGGCAAAATTCTGTGGATGCTGGAAATCTGTTAGAAATACAGAGAATGTTGGAGTAACTGAACAGGCCTGGCAGCATCTGTGGAGAGAGAAACAGAAATAACATTTCAAGTCCAGTGTGACGCTTTTCATACCCGACACGAAATATATTAACTCTTTTTCTCTCTCCACAGATGTTGCCAGACCTGCTGAATTTCTCCAGCACTTTCTGTGTTTGTGCTAGTAGCCTGTACAATGTACATCACAGCACTGTTGTTTTAAAAATTCTAAGCTGGATGAGTAATGTCATGGTTTCGTTTCCAGGTACGGTATTTTTGGAAAGGTGGAAAAAGAAGAATGCAGAACTAATATACGAGTGGGATGTTGAAAATTATGAAAACGATGAAATAGTCAGGCCTCAATTTTATAGAACAGAACCAGTACGTCTTTTCATGTGTCTATATAGGTATTGGGAGCATATCTTCAGCAGTTTTGAGGCAGTTTTGTACAGTGGTTCAGAAAAAGGTCAGGATTCATTTGGTTATAACCACTGTTCTCTTTCATTTTCATTCTGGCTGCGTGGGTCTCCATGGTCTGTGTGCAGCAGCAATGTCCGCAATTAGAAGTCAGTGCTGCAATCAGTGTGCTGATGCTGAACATTATGTGTGGAACTTTGGAGTGCTTGCACCATAATGTAAATGGGATTTCACACTTCTAAGGGATGGATCCTTACCTACTTCCTCATAAGGCTCAGATGTGAGGTCAAAGCCAAAGACGCAAACTCTTACATAGGAAGGAGGCAGCCAGGATCACGATAAGGGCAATTTAGAAGGGAATGTTTTTTAAGTGGATTGATGATACCATGACTGGGAAAACCCATACTTCCCCACCACATATGTGGTGGTAAGCCATTGGTGTGCCCAGCAATCTGCAGCTTGCTGCTCAAGATGCACCTATAGCAAATTGACTGACAATTGACCCCATGGGTATTATTTGGCCTTCCACCAACCCCACATACATTAACAAAGTCTCTAGAGGCCTTCGTGCAGAATATATTCTGAATAATGGTTATGTCCTTTCAATTTTATCAGCGAAATGATTTTAGATGCTTAATACATTGACTCAAAGGCTGCATGAGGAATGACTTACTGCAAGCCAGAGAGTGAAATAATCAGCTGCACCAAGATGATAAAACTATTGGGGATGTGGAGAGGCCAAATGCATAACCAACGATTATGAATGTGGACCAAACAAAGGCATGTGGGACATCAGGTACTATTGACTAAAAATTAGTCACAAGCCACAGAGAGTGAGGGAATTTAAATAAAAATTTAAACTGTGGATTGCACAGAAATAAGTGCTTGATTTGTATTTAATTGTTTTCAATGGAATACAATCAGATAGATTCCATAAAGAGCAACTGGATTATTAGTCAGAGGCTGAAGACTAAAATCAACTCAAATAAATATCTGACACCAGAGTCATGTTTAAACTACAAGTGAATTGCAAAATTAGACATACAAGAAAATTACATCAGATATACAAAAAAATTCAAAATAAAAGGAGCAAAATGATCAACTTTTATGAGTACCATTAAAAACAAACACAAGAAATGTTGAATGCAATCAATAGGTTAGGCAACATCTGGAGGAGTTGATATTTAGTGTGACAATTTGCCAAAATTATCTCTGTTCTCTCTACTTACGTCTCCCATACTTCTTTTTTTTTCTTTCTTTTTATAATGTAATAGCAAGTTCCAATTGTTGTTATGTGTCTCTTATGAACTCTGCAATAATGACTGCCTTTGAGTAAAAGAAAAGAATCTAAACTGTTATTGAATAATGTAAGCATTGTTTATGATTTAAATACTATTCATCAATATTGTAGGATAGAATTGAAGCCTTTTGCCCAGGCTACAGACGACAACTGAAACTTGCACTTTCACTTTCAGTTGGGATTGTAATGGTAAGCAATTTATATGAAAGAGAATATCTAGTTTTGTTTTTTTTCGTCTTTCATTTCTCTTTTTAATTCTTTGCTGAACATGGATTTCGCTATCAAGGTCAGCATTTATTGCACATCCCTAATATCCATTGAGAAGATGTTGGTGAGTGGCCATCTTGAACCACTGCAGTCCTTGAGGCATAGGGACACCCGCAATGTTGTTAGGGAGCGTCAGGTTTTTGACCCAGGACAGCGGAAGAACAGTGACGTAAGTTCAAGTTGAGATGTTATGTGTTGGGAGGGAAACATGGAGGTGATGGGATTCCCATGTGCCTTTCCTTGTCCTTTTAGATGATAGAGGTTGCAGGCTGGAAACTTGTTGAAGAAGCCTTAATAAATTGCTGCACTGCATCTGGTAGATGGTACACAATGTTGGCAATTGTGCAGGTGATGGAGATAGTGAATGCTTGAGGTAGTGGATTGGGTATAGTTAAGTGGGTTCCTTTGGTCTGAATGGTATCAAAATTCTTGAGTGTTGTTGGACCTGCAATCGTCCAGACAAATGGATAATATTCTATCACACTCCTGACTTGTGGCATGTAGATGATGGACAGCCTGAGGAGGTAAGGTGTTTGCCACAGAATTTCCAGTCCAACCTTTTATTGTGTCTACAGCATCTAAGTGACTAGTCAAGTTAAGTTCCGGTAAATGGTGATACCCTCCAGGATGCAGAAGCAGGATTTAGAAGTGGTAATGGATTGAATGTCAACAGTACGTCATTAGATTATTTAAAAATATGTGATGATGGTCCTGGAGTTTTTTTTGTCGAGAGGCTATAAAGACAGAGGCTGTGAACTGCCTGCTGAAGATAGATGAAAGAAACAACATATAAGGCCTATTGGCTTTTTCCAAAAGTTGGAACAATGGGAGCAGCCTGAATAGGTGTGGCCAGCTCTCACAGACCAAGCTGTCTAGATTTTTTTAAGCACTAGTAGTCAGAAGCTGTTTGGGATCCCTGAAGTGTTGGAAGTTTCAGTGAATGATATTCCTAGCTGCAACTTTCTCTGAAATCTCTCTTGATGTTGTTTCCTCCTGGACTGGAGAACTGCATGTAAGAATCTGTGTCTGAATTCGCCTTTTTGCCAAGGGGTGTGTTTATGGGATATTACTATATTGGAAAAGTTAATTAGTAATAGCTACTGTATCGATTATTCAGTTAAGTTTTCCAATAGTTATTCTAAATTCTTATAGCATTTAAATAAATTGTTTTGCCTAATGTTAAGCAGTTTGACCAGTCACATCACATCTGGAACATGCACTTCACATGTACCTTTAAAATCAGAAAAAGTTAGAATCTGGGCTACTCTCTTAACACATTTTGAGGGGATCTGGTCTGGTCCATAACAAATAAGATATAGTTATTGGCTGGCATTTGTATGGTGTGAATGTTACTTGCTTTTTTTAAAATTCATTCTTATTTTATCATAAAAAGGTACATTTCTCCGTCTGTTTACGTTGCTGTAGTTAGTAATACTGAGGTACTTCTACATGATCAAAGACACCACTTTTATGGTGACACATTACGCCAAGTTCTTGTCTGTGTCTTTCAGTATTTGAGAAATTCAATATGATCTTCAAAGGTGCTTTCAGATTTGGTGACTGAGAAATCATGGTATGCCATCTGGCCATGCAGGCACAGCACCCATTTTTAAAACAATAAATGGCACTTCAATGCTATTTTGTCTGGCAGACAGGAAGGGCATTTTACTCTGGAAATATGCCACCGTCATGTTGGGGTAGGCAAAAAGGAACTGTTCAGGAACCTCAACTGACATATGATGTAGCCCCTGTGTGTATTCAGATGTTTAAACGATGTAATATCAGGTTGTCTTAATATCAGTAATATCAGTAATATCAGGTTGTCATAAATGCTATCTATATTCTTCCACTGAGCATACAAAATGTCACTGGAGATTAACAGGAACAGTTGGATTCCAGTAGAAAATATTAATTACGTTCCTTCTCACCCTGTTAACATTAGCATTTGTTAACATCATTTGATTGTTAGTGCTTACTGTCCCAATTCGGCTTTGTTAGATTTCTTTATATATAAATATATTGTGCTTCTGTATATCTGGGCTAAACACTATTGAACAAAACTGTTAAGAATATATGTGTTAATCATACCAAGTAGAAAATCTAATTTTCCTTTCTACATTACATACAGGTGGGCTGTGTATTCATCAGTGTCTTGGCAGTGGTAATCTATAAAACCTGGGTTAGATTTCGAGTGACGACATCTAATTCGCTTGAAAATCTCTTCTTAACTACTATTATTAGCTCATTATTCAATGCACTATCCATTTTAGCTCTGGGAAAGGTAAGTTCATTTGGTTATGTTTTATAACATAAAAACATAAGAACATAAGAACTAGGAGCAGGAGTAGTCCATCTGGCCCCTCGAGCCTGCCCCGCCATTTAATAAGATCATGGCTGATCTTTTTGAGACTCAGCTCCACTTACCCGCCCACTCACCATAACCCTTAATTCCTTTACTGTTCAAAAATTTATCTAACCTTGCCTTAAAAACATTCAGCGAGGTAGTTTCAACCGCTTCAATGGGCAGGGAATTGCACAGATTCACAACCCTTTGGGTGAAGAAGTCCCTCCTGACCTCAGTCCTACATCTGCTTCCCCTTATTTTGAGGCGATGCCCTCTAGTCCTGGTTTCACCTGCTAGCGGAAACAACCTCCCTGCCTCCACCTTATCTATTCCCTTTTGGTCTCCTTACTTGAGAAGAGATATACTAACACTGGAGGGGGTGCAGAAGAGATTCACTAGCGGAAACAACCTCCCTGCCTCCACCTTATCTATTCCCTTCATAATCTTACATGTTTCTATAAGATCTCTCCTCATTCTTCTGAATTCCAATGAGTATAATCCCAGTCTACTCAGTCTCTCCTCATAATCCAACCCTCTCAACTCTGGAATCAACCGAGTGAATCTCCTCTGCATCCCCTCCAGTGCTAGTATATCTCTTCTTAAGTAAGGAGACCAAAACTGCACACAGTACTCCAGGTGTGGCCTCACCAGGACCCTATACAGCTGCAGCATAGCCTCCCTGTTTTTAAACTCCATCCCTCTAGCAATGGCAGACAAAATTCCATTTGCCTTTTTAATTACCTGCTGCACCTGCAATCCTACTTCTAGCGATTCATGCACAAGGACACCCAAGTCCCTCTGCACAGCAGCGTGCTGCAATTTTTTACCATTTAAAACATAGTCCATTTTCCTGTTATTCCTACCAAAATGGATGACGTCACACTTATCAACATTGTACTCCATCTGCCAGATCTTTGCCCACTCACTTAAACTATCTATATCCCTCTGCAGACTTTCAGTGTCTTTTGCACACTTTGCTCTACCACTCACCTTAGTGTCATCTGCAAATTTTGACACACCACACTTAGTCCCTAACTCCAAATCATCTGTGTAAATTGTAAACAATTGAGGTCCCAACACTGATCCCTGAGGCACACCACTAGCCACTGACCGCCAATCAGAAAAACACCCATTTACCCCTACTTTTTGCTTTCTACTGGTCAACCAATCCTCTATCCATGCCAATACATTACCTGTAATACCGTGCAACTTTATCTTATGTAGCAGCCTTTGGTGTGGCACCTTGTCAAATGCCTTCTGGAAATCCAGATACACCACATCCACAGGTTCCCCATTGTCCACCATGCAAGTAATGTCCTCAAAGAATTCCACCAAATTAGTTAAACATGACCTACCCTTCATGAACCCATGCTGGGTGTTCCCAATGGGACAATTTATATCCAAATGTCTTGCTATTTCTTCCTTAATGATAGATTCAAGCATTTTCCCCACTACCAAAGTTAAGCTAACTGGTCTATAGTTACCTGCTTTTTGTCTACTTCCTTTTTTAAACAGTGGCGTCACATTGGCTGTTTTCCAATCTGCAGGAACCATCCCAGAGTCCAGTGAATTTTTGTAAATAATTACTAGTGCATTTGCTATTTCCCCCATCACCTCTTTTAGTACCCTGGGATGCATTTCATCAGGGCCAGGAGACTTGTCTACCTTTAGCCCAATTAGCTTGCCCAGCACTGCCTCTTTAGTGATAATGATAGTTTCTAGGTCCTCACCTGCTATAACCTTCTTGCCATTAGTTTTCGGCATGTTATTTGTGTCTTCCACTGTGAAGACCGACACGAAATAACTGTTTAATGTCTTGGCTATTTCCTCATTCCCAGTTATTAAATTGGCCTTCTCATCCTCTAAAGGACCAATGTTTACCTTCGCCACTCTTTTACGATTTACATATTTATAGAAACTTTTGCTGCCTGTTTTATATCCTGAGCTAGTTTACCCTCATAATCTATCTTACTTTTCTTTATAACTTTTTTTGTAGCTTTCTGTTGGCCTTTAATGATTTCCCAGTCTACTAGTTTCCCACCACTCTTTGCTTTTTTATATGTTTTTTTTTTCAATCTGATACTTTCCTTTATTTCCTTAGACATCCATGGCTGGCTCTCTCTTTTCCTACAGTTCTTCCTTATCACTGGAATATACTTCTGCTGAGCACTGTAAAAAATCGTTTTGAAAGTCCTCCACCATTCCTCAATTGACCCACCATAAAGTTTTTGCTCCCATTCTACCTTAGCTAACTCCTCCCTCATTCCTTCACAGTCTCCTTTGTTTAAGCACAGGACATAGGTACTGGATTTAACCTTCTCACGCTCCATCTGTATTTTAAATTTGACCATACTGTGATCGCTCCTTCCGAGAGGATCCCTAACTGTGAGATCATTAATTATTCCTGTCTCATTACGCAGGACTAGATCTAGGATAGCTTGCTCCCTCGTAGGTTCCATTACATATTGTTCAAGGAAATTATCGCGGATGCATTCTATGAACCCCTCCTCAAGGCTGCCATGACCGGCCTGAGAATGATCTCAACAGAAGTAACCTATTACTGATAATTAAGAGAATAGCGTGTAATAGCAAAACTAAGCATGGTATGAAAACACAAAGGTCTGTAACTGTGACAAATTACAGACATCTCTGTGCTGTCAGCTTCAAACCAGAATGGCTTCCAAGCTTGTTGTTTGAAGAATATACCATTGAATCGTAGAATGATTGCTGCACAAAAGGAGTCCATGTGTATCGATGGCTGTACCCTATAACATAGCAATCCCCACTCCCTTCCCTTTTACTATAAATTTGTAATTTTTTTTTCGGATAACAATCCAAATCCCTTTTGATAGCCATGAATGAATTTACCTGCATCATTGTTTCAAGCAGTGCACTCCTGATTCTAAACATTCACTGCATAAAGATGCTTATCCTTGAATCTCTGTTCGTTCTCTTGCCAATCCTTTAAAGTCAGTGTCCTCTAATTCTCAATTCTTCCACCAATGGGAACAATCTCTATCTATTTGCCCCAAAATCCACCTCATTCAAGTCTCAAAAATGTCTAAATTGTTACTTGTGACATCTTGAGGTTTTCAGAATGCTATCTGTGTCCTTTGAGGAATGAATTATAAAGACAAGCTGCAGTTTATTCAAACAGTTGCCAGAATATCTTTCTTCTACTGCAAACAATAGTCCTAGGAAGCACTGATAGTCAGAGAAAGCAAGATACCTTATTCTGTTCAAAATCATAGTGGAAGTATCAGCAGGCTGAGCAACCAATCAGATTAAATTATTCTTATAGACAGTAAAGCAGAAGTACAAAACGGAGATTATAATTCATTTTTGATAAGTTTACAGAAAGCCAAATAAAAATCGGAACATATACATAGTATTAGATGAAATATCACAAACAAATCTTTAAAATAAACTATTTTAAAATCATCCTTTTTTTATGCTATTCTGCCAGAAAGCCTCTCTACCCCTATAAAATTAGGCTTTCCACATGGAGGGGTTGCTCAGCAATAGTTGATACATGGTCCTCATTAAAATACATTTAGTTACACCTCTTTCAATAAGGCTTCAGTCATTTTTACAATGAGAACATTGAATAAAAAAGTTGATATTCACACTGAACTACAAATTCTATTCTGATTGCAAGTACAAAGAACATAACACTGTCTACGACCATACAAATATGCAAATTAGGAGTGGGGGTAGGCCAGACAATCCTCAAGCCTGCTTCACTATTCACTCAGATTGTACCTGATTTAATTACTGCACAATCCCACCTATCCATGACAACCTTTTACCCACTTGCTCATCGAGAATCTATCTACCCACTGCTTTAAAGACTCTGCTTCACCACTAGTGTAATGGAATCCAAATCATAACATCTGATTCCTCTGATGGAAGGACAGTAAACATAGGACACAGATTTAAAATAATTGGCAAATGATTCAGATATGACATGAATTAAAAGAATGTTCAGCAGCTTGTTATGATTTGGATTCCATGACACCAGTGGTGTTCAATCAGGGAACAGTGAGACTTCTTAAAATCATAGAATCCCTACAGTGTGGAAGCAGGCCATTTGGCCCACCAGGTCCAAACCAACCCTGCGAAGGGCATCCCACCCAGAACCACCTTCTACCCTCTCCCTGTAACCCAGCATTTCCCATGGTTAATCTACCTAACCTGCACATCTTCGGACTGTGGAAGGAAACTGGGGCACCCAGAGGAAACCCATGCAGACACGGGGAGAACATGCAAGCTCCACACAGAGTTACCCAAGGCTGGAATCAAACTCCGGTCTCTGGTGCTGTGAGGCAGCAGTGCTAGCCAATGAGCTGCCGTGCTGCCCCTTAACTTAACTAATTGGATAGTATCTTTTAAAGAGCCAGCACATCCACTAAAGGCCAAATGACCTCCTCTGTGTTGTATCATACTAAAATTCCAGTTAAGCAGAAATCATCTGGAAAAGCCACACAGAGTGGATAAAATATTTGGAAAGCAAAGCTCCACAACCAATTTGGTATATTTGTCCTTATTTTTGGTTCATAAAAATCAGCATGAGTTTAAAAGGTTGCCAGCAGGATGGTTTGCATTTCTAGTGATCATTTACAGAAATCATATGACCTCTGCCTGACTTGTAATCACTGAATCTTGAGAATAACGAGGTACATCTAGGCGCTAAATACGGGTAACATAAGGCAAATCTAAATTTCTTATAAGGAAATGTACAAGTAAATATTCAAATATGATGAAGTCATTATAGTTCATTTTAAAGCATGTATTTATTTGGAAATATTTCTGTTAAATAAAGTCTTTACCTAATTCTGTTGGATTATATATGTATTATGTATATAGAGTGTGGTAACTTGTGAATCTCACTATCCCAAAATTTCCCATATGGAATTTGAAAGGTCCCACTCTCTTAGGAAGTTGTCTAGCTCTGTTTTAAAAGATTGGAGACAATCTATAATTATTGCACATTTAATAACCTATTTCAGATGGTGATAACTCTAGAAATTAATTTCCTTAACCTGCTTTGATATTTTAATTGTAAAAAGCTCAAATTTAGCTTTGTATGTCGTAAAACAATGTATTCTGATATGGAAAATATATTACATAATTTGATTGTTATTTTAATTTTAGGGGTATCAGAAACTTGCAGTTATAATGACTAACTGGGGTAAGTAGTTATGCTTTAATATATTTATGTATTTCAAAGCTGGTCTATTACCAATGGCATGTGATGTTATCCACAAATTTAACCAATATTGTTCCAGATAGCCTATAGCATGTGATTTATGAATATTGTATATTTGGGCAGCCAAATGGAGCAAGCCCAAATCCAGAATACAGTGGAAAGTTTATTGGACAGTGTAAAAAAAACATCCCTATGAGGAAAAACTAGCGAAGCCTCTATTATAGCATTTGAAAACGGAGTTGAAAAATATTCAGAAAATTCTGGTTGTGTAACATTATTGTAACATCTGTGTACCTGTATGCTGGTACTCATAGTGTGATCTCAGTCTATACAGTAAGTCTTCATGTTATAGTTATGTTGCTGAGAATCGCAACATTAAGTGAAATAACTCTAAACAAACAGATTTTGTCACTAAAACCAATGTACAAGGTGAAGTTAGGTTCTGTAGGACAGTTCTTATTAGACAAGAAAATTAAAACATTATACCCTGTAAATTTAAATATTTTGCATTGCTAAATTCCCATATTGGTAAATTAATTTTTTTTCTAAAAATGTGTTTAGAAATATAAAAGAAAAGAAATATTATAACTTTCTAATTAACTACTACCCACTACCAAATGCACCTTTTTGCTGCCAACACTCCAACTTGTGATATCTGAGTCACCGTCTCACTGAAACTTGCGTTCCCTGACTCTCCCACCTGCCATTTCCCTCGCTTAAACCTGCAATCCATTCAACATCTAAATCCGGTTGAAAACCAGTGCTGCAAGGTCATGAGAGTACAAGCCTGGATTTTGCAAAAGTGCTGAGTCGGGACTATTACAGTCCATTTTGTTTGAGTACTCTTGCTTGCTGCTCCCCTCTCCTGAACACTCACAGTGACTAGGGGCCCTGTAGATAAATGGCAAGTGGCAGGAGGAGAAGTTTTGACTTTTATCTTCAAATCAAGTCACCTAAAGAATTCTAGATTCAAAATCCAATTTAATTTCAAACCTAAGACTCGGGCTCCAATTAAATATGAGACATTCCGGGTTTAAGAGTCTTTAGACAAAGTTCACCAATTAGTTAAGTTATCAAAACAAATACAACAGAAATGGCAGGTAAGCAGACGATGGACCCCCCAAGACTCCTGAATGGGATAGCAATCCTAAGTTAGCAAGGCTGCTGTCTCTGCTTCTTTCTGCACACCCAACTGTTGAAAAGAATAGATATTCACTAACAACTTATTAACCCTTTCCAAACAACAACCCCTTCGCATAATCAGAGATACCTTATTGATCTAGGCATGTTATGATCAGATTTTTCATTGACCAGGCGCTGCACACTCAGTGCCTGAACAATTCATAGTTTGTCTCGGATTGTTTATGTAGTTTATCCCCAATTTCTCATTCGTTTCTTTAAAAGTAATTGTGATCTACTGTCATCACTTCTCATTATTGATTAATTATTCTATTAAAATTCACAAGTGGCATTGTCCCAGGTCACTATATCTATACTTGTCATTTCGTTGAGTTAAACCTTACCACTGAGATAACAAAACATTTTACAGTAACCTTCTTTGTCCATTTGTTTACGATAGGGGTTGTATGTTGCTATGACATTGCGATTGACACTCACACTTACCTCAGATTTCCCTTAAACCTATATAACACAATACAAAGGATCACAAAATAGTCATAAAATATGAAAATTTTACTTTAATAAATTTTTAAAGTAAACAATACTTTAGTTAAAGATATAGGTGCAAAAGGCACGATTGAGATACATTTTCAAATATTTGGTCACTACAATCTTATAAAATTCTACATGATTATAAGTCATAAACATAAACACACATTGTTACAAAGTTAACTCATACAAAGAGTATATTTAACTAAATATAATTACTTCTCTTCTTAACTACTATATGTTAAAATAAAGATAAAGTCGAACATGGCTGCTATATTTTCTTATCTCCTCCTTTCCTGCAGTTTGGGAAGGCAATGCCCCGGTGGTATTGTTGCTAGACTATTAATCTCAAGATCCAGGTAATGTTTTGGGGACCCGGATTCAAATCATGCCATGCTAGATGATGGAATTTGAATTCAATTAAAAAATAATCTGGAATTCAGAGACTAATGACGACCACGAAACTATTGCTGGATGTCAGAAAAAAATCCATCTGGTTCACTAATGTCCTTTAGGGAATGAAACTATTGTCCTTAGCTGGCCTGGCCTGGCCTGGCCTATATGTGACTCTGGACTTAGCAATACAACTGAATCTTAACTATCCTCTGGGCAATTAGAGATAGGCAATAAATGCTGACCTAGCCAGTGAAACCCACTTCCTGTGACTGAATTTAAAAAAGGAAATCTCTTCTAGCCATTTTTCATTGATAACACCAGTGATTTCAGATAAGGATTGCATGAGTCAGGAGAATGTAAGCCCCTTCAATCTTGAATGTTAAAAGTTTTAGCACTGTAGCTCTGTGAAATCTGATGGTGTATTTCTTTGTCAAATGTCACTCGGCAGAGTAACATGATATGAAAGTAATAACGTCAATATCAGTTACAGTTAGGCAGAATTACATAATGTTAGATTAATTTTTTTTCTTTATTCATTCACAGGATGAGGGTGTCACTGGTCAGGCAGCATTTATTGCCCATCCCTAATTGCCCAGAGGGCATTTAAGAGTCAACCACATTGCTATGGGTCTGGAGTCACATGTAGGCCAGACCAGGTAAGGATGGTAGTTTCCTTCCCTCAAGGACGTTAGTGAACCAGATGGATTTTTCCAACAATGGTCATCATTAGACTCTTAATTCCAGGTATTATATTGAATTCAAATTTTACCATCTGCCAAGGCAGGATTTGAACCTAGGTCCCCAGAACATTATCTGGGTCTCTGGAGTTCGGTGATAAGACTACTGGGCCATCGTCTCCCCTCTGTGTGACTACAAGTAAACTGATTGTGACACAACTTGGTAGCATACTTGGTCTTAAAATCAAACGGAGGATGGTGGTTTGCATAGGACTAGCAGGTTTTGAGATGTGGCCCAAGAAATAATTAGGTTGGACAGCGTTCAAACGCTAGGGATGAGATTCCAGTTAGGAGCATTGGAAGTATACACAACAGACAATGTTATAGAATAAAGGTATGCCCATTCCTGGTTTCACAAGCTATTGTATGCATTTTTTTAAAAAATGGATTGTAACAATGCCAGCTTGGCACTTCTGCATCATTAGGACCCACACTTTCAGAACCCCAGCATTCCAGCTTCAGATCAAATCTGGATTTAAACCTTGGACACGAATGCAGGTTCAGAAGTGTGGTGGGCAGAAAAGGGTGGTTCTGCAGAAGGCTGATTGATGGGGAGGCAATGGCCTAGTGGTATTACCATTGGATTGTTAATCCAGAAATCCAGATAATGTTCTGGGGACCAGGATTTGAATCCTGCCACGGCAGATGGTGGAATTTGAATTCAATAAATATCTGGAATTGAGAGTCTAATGATGACCATGAATCTATTGTCGATTGTCGTGAAAAACCCATCTGGTTCACTAATGTCCTTTAGGGAAGGAAACTGCCATCCTTACCTGGTCTGGCCTACATGTGACTCCAGACCCACAGCAATGTGGTTGATTCTTAATTAGAGATGGGCAATAAATGCTGCCTAGCCAGCGATGCCCTCATCCCGTGAATGAATAAAGAAAAGAAAGAAAAAAAAGCAAGGATTTGTAAGAGGTTGAGTTGGGGAGCACAAGAGGTGATAGATGATTGGCAGAAAGACAGTGAGCCAGGGAGCAGGTGAGGGCACAAGTCAGAGGCTACATTAAGGAGTGAGATAAGGAGTAAAAATAGCTCCAATTGGGTCATGTACCAAACCTCAAATAGGAGGACAACAACTTTGAAATGAACCTCCTGACCTACGAACACAAGAATGTAAAAATAGGAGCAGCCCTTCGAACCTGCTCCTTGATCCATTTGAGATCATAACCAATCTTATACTCCAACACTATTTTCCTGCACAAGCATCATATCCTTTTGTTTTTTCATTATGCGGAAATCTATACATCTTAATCTTGAACATACTCAATGACTGAGCCTCCACAGTCCTCTGGGAGAGAGAATTCCAGACCCCTCAGTCAGGAAAAACATCCTTTCAGCATCTACCATGTCAATCCCTATATGAAATTTGTGTGGTTTGAATGAGATTACCACTCATTCTTTTAAATTCTAGAGACTAAAGGCCCAGTCTATTTGGTCTTTCCTCATAGGACAATCCTCGTATCCCAGGAATTAGTTAAGTGAAAACAACAAATGCTGGAGATGACAGTGGGTCAGACAGCATCAATGGAGAGAGAGTGAACTAATGTTTCAAGTCTAGATGACTCTTCATCAGATCTGATTCAAAAGTTTAGTATGGCTCCATCGCACCCTCTCTGTGTCAGGAGACCAAACTATTCAATTTCTTATTAAGGAGACCAAAATTGTGCATGATATTCCAGGTCTAGTCTCACTGAGTTTCTATACAGTAACAGAGAGACTTGACTACTTCTTACTTTAAATATATTTGTACTAAAGGTCAACATAATATTTACCTTCTTAATTGCTTATTGTACCTGCACATTAACTTTCAGTGACTCCTGAGCAAGGACACTGGAGTCCCTTTGAAGTTCAACATCACCCAGCTGCACACTATTTAAGAAGTATTCTGTATTCCTGTTTCTCCTGCCAAAGTTGGTAGCCTCACTTTTCTCCACATTGTATTCCACCTGCCACACCTTCGCCAAGTCACTTAGCCACTCCAAATCCCCTTGAAGCATTTTTGAATTCTCCCGACTCCCACTCACATCTAATTTAGTGTCACTTGCAAACTTCAAAATATTACATTTATTCCGACCATTATTTTCTAAGTATCCTATTAGCAAATCCCTTACAATAGATTGTATCATTTTCCCTATGACCAATATTAGATTAACAGGTCTGTAGATCCTCGTTTTCCCTCTTAAACTGTGGAATTACATTTGCAACCTCCCTTACTGCAGCGACCATTCCAGAGTCTATAGAATTTAGAAAGAGGTCCAACAGTGTGTCTACTAACTCTACAGGTACCTCTTTCAACACTCGGGTGAACAAGAAAACAGACCCATTAATTAAACAATGCCAGAGTGAATCAATGTTCAACATGGCAAAATTAAGCAGAGACGGAATATATATCACTAATACTAGCTTTTACCAGAAAATGATTTTAGTGTGTGGAAAAAGGAAAGAATTTTCATTAATGATTCAGGTTAACACTCATTCTGGGGATGTTCTAAAACAAATGTATCATTGTTGTTACTGATTTCATTCTTTTTTCCCTCTGTAGAAAACCACAGAACTCAGACTGAATACAATGACGCTCTGATTATCAAGTTATTTGCCTTTGAGTTTGCCAACAATTATTCACCTCTCTTTTATATTGCATTTCTCAGAACGGTGAGTAATGCATGCAACAGTTTATGAAAAAGTGACTGGTTGCTTTACAATTCAAAAATGCTCTTAATTTTTCTGATGATTTTAGAACAATGAACAATTTTTCACATTAATTGGTTTGCCTGGCTTGGAGGATAATTGTGGAGAACTGAACAATTGCATGACAGAACTTTGTTTTCAAGTTCTAATGCTGATGATCACCCACCCACTTCCAAAGTTTCTGAAAGATGTTATTGTACCGTAAGTCTGTCTTTATATTATTAAATATTTGTTTTAAAGTTTTAAATCACTTGCAATGTGGGAGTTGTTGGAAATGTAATTTTTTAGTTAGTTTGCTTTCAAGCGATGATGTAGTGGGGTTTAGAATTGTGCAGGGAAATGTCAGAAGTCCATTCAGCAGATCAGAATTCACAATTGCAACTGAATTGAAGCAATTCATTTTGGCTTCCATGTTTTGTAGCGCAATGGGCATGATGAACACTCAGATGATATGATCTTAGCTGTGTTCAAAGGGACATTGTTACAAATGCAAGTTGGAGGTGTTTGTGATGGAGGTTGGCTTTTGAGCAAGAGTAGCATTCAGACTTAGTCAAAACTGCTGAAATTATTGCTGGGGCAGTCAGGAGCAGGAAGGATACACTTGGCCCAGCAGTGAAAGAATGAGGTCAGCAGCTTTCACTTGGAAATTATGTTTGAAGCAAACTGATGAGGTGTGTACCAGCAACATAGTGTTCAGTACTTGAATGTAATGCAAGAAGTGGTTGAATAATTTAACCAGGTCAGGAATAGTGAAACAATGCATCCTGTGCTTTCAGACCCTGCTTCCCCGCTTCTCCCTACTTTGCCAAATGTTCTCCATTATACCACCCCTCACAATGATTCAGCTTTCAGCAGCCACTATGCACTTCATCACCTTCACATTTAACCATGCAGCATTGCCACTCCCATCTCAAATCTTGGACAATGTGATGCATCTGTCTCGCTGTGTTGGGCACATTAAATGCAAAACTAAGTGAAATTCAATTAATAGGAGTCCCTTGTCATCTTCTAAGGACAGTAATGGTAGCAATATTTACCCACATCTGGCAAGAATTAAAATCAGTGATTAGCTTGTTTGCTAACACCCTAAATAAACCTGAAAGTGGACCAATTAGAGTGAGATTGCAGTTGTGATGGCAAATTCAGATATTCTAATTAGTCATTCATCTGAAAATCAGCTTTGGGTGTTAAAATTTCCCTAAATGTTCAGGCAACATGGAAAGAACAATGTAGAAAGAACTTTGTGCAAGGCTTTGTGTTGTGTCCCTTTTCAAACTAAATGATTGAATTTAAATAAAATATATTAGGAGGAAAGGGCATATTTTAAAATGCCTCTTCTTTCACTTTCCATTGCTGAAGCAAAGATTGTTCTCTATTTTTGTCACACTTGCAACATTTGTTTAAAAAATTCGCCCATGAAAGAACAATAAGATTTTTCGTTGCTGCATTGTTGTACGCAGTTTTAGGGTAGAAATTATAAAGATAATATCAACTTTCATACAAACTACACAGCTTCTGCTCAGGATGACCTTGAACAGCAAAGGAAACAAGAATGTATTTTTAGGGTGATGCCAGGGTTGCTTTACAGGCATAGTACAGGCAAAGGATCATTGCAATTATAAATATCAAAGTGACCATAGTTGCATTCATATTTGTGAGAGGGCATATATTTTCAATTGAATACAATTCATTTGAAAAGATATATTCAGTACTCCCACTTTCTAAGCAAGGAATTATGCTTCATGGGAGCAATGACTTGAAAATTGGCACTAAATTTTGCAGCCACAGACTATCCCTTTGAATATGGCTTCCTACTAGATTATGGCATCAGCGACTACTCTACAATATTATATTTTTGATCAACTATTGTAATTTGAATTATTTTGTACTGAGTACAAGAAGTAACTGGGATACATATTTACTTAATTGCGATGCAAGTGACTCATACTTTCATGTATTCATTCTATATATAAATATTTATTCAATTCCAACATATTAATATATATATAGAGTACTTATTTACAAATATTTATGATGGTCTCAACTCTTTTTACTTCTCTACTGTAATGGGTGAGAAAATAATACTTCCTTATTCACCAAATTCATATATCTTTAGTTGTAGACTATGTTCCACTGTTTCACTGACATTGTGTGTGAATATAGGACAACATGACAACTTGGCTCCAGCAGTATACAAACATACCTACAAGGAGCAGGAACAGGACATTTGTCCCCTTAAGCCTACTCTGTCATATAATAAGACCAGTTGCTTTGATTGCACCCTCAAATCCACCTACCCTTGATAACTTTTCACCCCCTTGCTTAACAAGAATCTATCCACCTCTGCTTTAAAAATATTTGAAGACTCTGCATCAACCAACTTTTCAGGAAGACAGTTCTAAAGACTCACAACCCTCAGAGAGAAATAAATTCCCCTCATCTCTATTGTAAATGGGTGTCCCCTTATTTTTAAACAGTTATCTTGATTCTTCAATAAGAGGCAACGTTCTCTCCACATCCACTTTAAGATATCTTGTATGTTTCGTTCACGTTGACTCTTACTGTTCAAAACTTGAACAGATACAAGGCCTGCTTGATCAAGCTTTCCTCATTAGACAAACTCACTCATTCTGTAAATTCTTCCAATGCATTCATCCACATTGTTAAATAATATGCACTAACATTGGACAGCCAATCCTTTGCATGCACAAATACAGTGCTTTTTTTGGTTCTGTTAACTCTTATTCCTCCCAAATAATCAGAGATGAAAACTTGGAATGAGCCATAGATCACTGTAAATCATGTCAAGACTGCAAGGAACAGGGTTCTACCTGACATCTGCTTTTAATACCAGTGAATATTGAATGGTTAAACTTAGCTGTGCAGCAGGCAACAGAAAGTAGGGATAATGGGTAGGTACTCACATTGGCAGCATGTAACTAAGTGGTGTCCCATAAGGATCTGTGTCCTTGATTGTTCACATTATATATTTATGGCGTGGATAATGGCATATAAAATCTTGCATCCAGATTTGCTGATGACCCAAAGTTATGCAGCATTGTAGACAGTTGTAGGTGATAGCATAAAATTGCAGAAAGATTTGACAGACTAGATGAATGGGCAAAACTGTGACAAATAGATTTCAGTGTAAGCAAGAGTGAGGTTATCCATTTTGAACTGAAAAAGGATAGATCAGTCTGTTTTCTAAATGGTATGAAATTAAATAGAGTGGATGTCCAAAGAGACTAAGGTGCACAGATCTTTCAAATACCACCAACAGGTGCAGAAAATAATCAAGAAAGCTAATGGAATGCTGGCCTTTTTATCCAGACAAATGGAGTATAAAGAAATTATGCTGCAGGTATATAAATATCTGATTGGAGTACTTTGAACAAATCTGTGCACTACATCTTTGGAAGGATATATTGGCCTTGGAAGGAGTACAATGTAGATTTACAAGAATGATACCTCAGCTTCAGGGGCCAAGTTATAAGGAGAGATTGTACAAATTAGGTCTGTTTTCTCGAGAATTTAAAAAGTTAAGGGGTGATCTGATCAAAATCTTCAAAATATTAACAGGAAAAGACAGACCAGATAAAGATAAACTAATTCCACTGATTGGAGATTCTAGAACTAGGCATCTAAAAATTAGGGCCAGACCATTCAAGAAGCATTTCTATACATGGAGGGTGGTAGAGGTTTTGATCTTTCTTCCACAAATGGCAATGGATGCTGGATCAGTTGTTAATTTTAAAATGGGATCAGTAATTTTTTGTTAAGCAAAGTTATTAAGGGATATGGGCCCAAGGCAGATCTTGAGTTAGGCCATAGATCAGCTTGATCTCCTTGAATAGTGGAACAGACTTGAGGGGCTGAATGGCCTACACCTGCTGCTATGTTCCTTGTTGATGATACAAGAGAAAAGTATTTCTAATATGCAGAGTGTAGGGCTAAAAATGTTTGTGGATTAGTAATTTGCAAATGTTTAATAAATAGTATCCATTTTTTCTGCCTGCTACATTAATGGAAGAGAGGGTTTGTCTGCCTGTTTAAATTAAATGTGTTAATAGCTCAGTTAAATTAGTAGATAGAGAACTTGAATACAGTTGCTTTAAGAATTTATATGATCATACCTCATAGTTCATACTATATAAAGAAAACGATTTGTCATCCATTCTTAGCTAGCAACAATTGTGATGGACAACATTGTGGGCCAATATTTTATAATTTACTGTAATTGTTTTGCACATTGTTATTTAGGTGGGGAAATCATCTGCTAAGCAGATTCTGTGGTAATGCAAACAAAAGATCCCATCAAAAAGAATACAGTACAGTGGATGACTGTATTCTCAGGGACTATAACAAACCTGACCTTGGAGACTTCACACTGGAGGAGTACACTGAAAAAGTCATACAATATGGTCTCCAGATGGTAAGACATTTCTAACTGTTACCAGGAATTCTCACAGTTACCAGGAAGAAATAACTGTCATTAAAGTTGTAGCTTAGAAAGTTATAGCCTGGTAGACATTTGACTTCTAAACTGTGGGGTTATTCAAACCCCATGTTATACACTGACTGAAGTGTGAAACTGATGCAGTAAGAATTTCAGAATCTAACCAGTGTGGTTCACTTACTTACTTCACCTTTCCATACTGATAGCTTGTGCACAAGCACAAAGAATAAAGAATTCGTATTTGTAAAGCACCCTTCATATTCTCAAGGTGTCTCAATTTGTTTTGCAACAACTGAATTATTATGAAATGGAACCACAATTTTTTTGAAGGGATATGCTTCAATTAACTTATAGATTAGTCAGACAGTATGGTCAGAAAATGATATTGGAATCGTTAGGTCACACAAGCCTGGTGTATAGTCAGTGATTAGGTTCCTGCCTGTTTCAAATGGGAATTCCAGAAGGCAACTGTAATAACCCCACCCTAAATCTGATCCCTGGAAAATCAGACTGCTTTAAAGCTTATCGTTAATTGAGGAGAGGAGAAGATGCAGCTCTTTTTTAATCACAAATCACAAATTAAGGAGACCAAAGTTGAATCCTCCATTATTTGCCCTATCATGGATTTCTGTCAACATTTGAGAGCCATTAACTTTATGGTATGGCAACAGTACACATTTTCAGCTTTTTACGTGGAAGCAGAGTACAAGATACATCCCTGAGAAATATTTCTGCTCTTCATTGCAAACACCTAAAGTTTAGAACCAGATGCATTCAGAAAAGCTAATAGCTATTCAGAGAACCTGTAGCTGCTAGTCAGGATCAGTATAGGTAATTTTGACTATGTATTAAAAGAACAATTTAAAACTGTTTCATTATTGATCTTGTGAAATACCCATGTACATTATATCTTCCTGAATGAAACGAACAGAAACATTGTCCCTAAATACATGATCAAATTTGATCTATTTACAGATATTTTAAACTATTACTGCTCAGTAATTTAGGAGGTAGGGTAACTTCAGTTTGATAAATAAAACACATATATAATGTTGTAATTAAAATGTTCAAATTTCCTTGCTATAGGCCACATGCATGATTTAAATTGAATATGATTATTTTAATTCTTTACTGTTTGGTTTACAGCTTTTTGCTGTCTCATTCCCACTGGGACCGTTTATTTTCTTCTTAACCATACTTTTCGATATACGCTTGGATGCTAAACGACTGTTATTAATATACAAACGTCCCATCGCTCTCATGGCTCAAGATATTGGTAAGGAATTGATTCTAACTCACTGTTAGATAAGCCTTCAGCTTCCCTCCATGCCTACCTTGGCATATTTCAACAGGGTTGAGGTTCTTGCCACCATTATAAACAGTAGCCCCAATTGTCCCGTCTCACTCACTCATCAACCTTCCTTGCTTAGTGAGCCTGTTGAGGGCTAATCTTGCTGTCTAACTCACCCGACTCACAGCAAACCCTGTGAATGCTGCCACTAGATCAGCTCTCACAGTCCCTCTCCATATCTTTCTCCTGAGCTTCCATTCACTTGTGGCGTCCATGAGCTAATTATGGATGACTGTGTTGATGTCATGACGTTAATGGAAACCTGGCTGAGGGGTAAAGACACCTTCCCCCTTGACGGTGCAACATCATCTGCTACTTGTTTCATCAAGAATGTTGTGGTGGCGGTATCTCACCTTTTTCCAAACCTCTCATTTCCCTTTCAGCATTCTTTCCTGCCCTCCTAAGCAGTTTAAAATGTTTTCCACCAAAGGTGATTTATTACTTTCCTCCTTCAACCTCAGCACTGAGTGACTCATCATCCTTGATGAATTCAACCTATATCTCAATATTCTTTTGCCCTTGAAATCACTGCCTCATATCTTCCCTGGCATCTCTATCCCTCCAGGTAAATTCCCAACTCACTGTCAACCCCCTTGCACTTATCACCTCACATGGCCTTACTAATCCCATTACATCAATTAGCTAAGGCCATTACTGATTATTTCCGTGTAAAACTCATCATTCACATTCTCCTATCATGTTCCCACCTGTCTGAATCCTTCTGAATTCACCTCTGGAGAAACCAAGCCCGCACTTCACTTACCATTACATTTTTGAAGACGCAACCAGCTACACTTCGGCCCTTCACTCACCACAGCGTCGCTGCAACTAGTAGTTTGTTCAACTGCATCTTCTGGAATCTTCTGGCAACCACTTACTCTGAAGGAACTCATTGTCGCTTAGGACCAAACAACATCTCAGGGCATGATCCATGGCACCAGCCTCCACACACCCCTCATTCACGGGCTTTGGCATCTGGCATTTGCCAACCTGTCACGACCATCATGGTGCCTCTCTGACCCATTTGCACACTGTTCAGGAGGCACAGACTTGTAGGGCACACCAACAATTAGCTTTGCAAGGCTGTAAGCAAGGACATTTCACCATCAGCTCACAGACTGGACTAGGCTGCACCTCAGAGCTGCTTACTTGCTCTCTTAGCATTTTCTCTTAGCACCAACCTGCATGCTCACAGCATCTATGCTATAGCTTGCTTTACTCTGTAAATTACCACAAAGATATAACCAGGGAGTTTGCCTTGCTAGTTAGCAGTACTCAGTGCAGAGAATGGACATCTTGCTGCATAGCAGTGAGCTGTGTCAATCTCACACCTGTACAACGTGCCAGCAGCTCTTGTGGCAAACACACTGCATGTACAGCAAACAACCGGCAATGTCTCAAAGTCTTGGAGGAGTACTCTTCACCTAATTCAGGCACCAGTCAGTCAGGGTTCTTGGCACAGTAAGTCAAGTGCAGCCTGTAAAACCAGTCCACAGTCAGGCATCCAGTCAAGGTGTTCTGGGTCAGAGAGTCATGCTTCTGCAATCAGGGCGTGGGTCACAGTCAGTCACCTGGCATGGTTGTCCCATATGCCAGGGCTCGGGGGGTGAAGCTTGGATGGGTGCAAGCTCATGTAGATAGGTTGGATGGGGTTCACAGGAAGGGCTACCAGGATGTTTACAGCCTCACCAATGTGTAGAGGCAGAGGTTGGATACCATTGACTGAAGAACACTCTCTGTTGCCTTCCATTGTGCTGGAAACTGAAGGTACACAATTTGGGAAAAAAATAGCTCTGAACACACAGAAATGTGGAAGATCTACAAGTGTGAGGTTGTTTAAAAGGAAAGAGCATTACATATAGACCAGGCACTGTACTGGGCACAGGTCTTCAGGGTCCATAATCCCTAGCCAGCCTAATGTATTGGCTCCCTGTCCCAGACATCAATGACCATTTTGTTCACACCAACACTTTTGGAAACATGTCTGGGAAAGAAAAGTAATATTGTAGGATGTGGGGCAAAGGTGTCAGCAGGACCCAAGACGTGCATGTGCCTTGTTCCTGCTGCTTACAAATGCTGCAACAGGTTCTCAACACAAACATCAATTTGTGGTACATTGTGTGTGTCCGTGAATTATGTTTCTTGTTGGAACAGTTACGTTCTAGGTTATATTGAGAAAAAACAATGAGATGTAAGGTCAAAACAGTGCAATTTGTAAAAATGTACCAAATAATGTACATTGCATTGTCACGTGTGCTACCAAAATGTCATCAATAAGCTTTCCCCTTCCTCTCCCTCTCATTGTGTGGTAGTGCACTCCCTGGTTCTGCAGCTAGAGTGGAAGGAGCATGCTCAGTAGTGGAGCCAGGTGTCCCTGGAGGCCTGGTCAGGTGACTCCAGGGCTGTTTGTGTCTGAACAGGCCAAACATGAGGGTTTTCTTGTCAGAACGCCACTCCTCAGCATAAACATCCAAGGGGCAGAATTGGGTAGGGGCAGAGTGGAGGTGGAGAGTGTCCTGGGTGGAGACTTCTGAGGGACCTCTGTGTTGTTCCTCTGCTAGTTGTGTGCTTCCTGACACTGCCCTGTCTCCTGGTATGACACCTGGAGTGCTCACCAGGTGACTATTCCTCTGGACCATTAAGGTGGCACTGACTAGCTAGCAATCTGGGACAAGGCTGCCAGGGTCTGGTGGTGCAGCCTCCTCTATCAGTCCTCCTAGAAGAGGAGTCCTCTCCTTTGTACCACCCCTCAACCATGATCTGCAGGTCCCTGTCAGAGAATTGTGATGCCATCTTCCTTATCTCAGATATGTTCTGGAAACAATCCTGACCAAACAGGGAAGCTTTGGAATGCCAGTGCTCATCCAAGTGTGCAACAGCCTATTAAAAATGCTGTTGGTGCTAGGGATGCCAGTCTTTTAGCAGATGTTTGATGAGTGGCAAGTTGTTCGAGGAATGGCATGTGGTAAGATGGGACCAGAGTCAGACATTTTGGATGCCATAGGGACTGTGTAGGCCTTTAACAGTTTGAGTTTGGTAAAATACAGTGAGAAATCTTGCTAGGCGTCATGGCAAGAATCCCTCCAAAAGACCCATTCCATCCTGCACTTGGTTAAAAGGATGCAAGATTCAGCCCTTCATATCAGTTAATAATGACAATTCCTCGGATTGGTCATTGTTTGCAAAATCTTCGGTACAAATTCAAATAGAATCTATTCCAGTTGACAACATAGAGTTAATTTGTCATTCCCCTTTATTTACCCAATTAGTCACTTCTTTGTAACTTTATTTATCTATGTTTACCTTCAGTGGCCACACTTCTCTGGTGGCCCACAGCTCAGGTAAATGTCAGTTTTGGATTTCTGTCCAGCACATACTGAAACATTGATGTTGACTCATAAACTGTTCTAATTTATACAAGTCTATATTCCCAGGCTGCTCATTCTCCTCCAGGCCAGAATGTTTGAAGTATTATACTAATACTTGCACATCTCTTTGTTACATTATTTTTTTCCAATGATAAGATCACTAAAAACCCTTTCTTTGCCTTAACAAACACTTTCTCTTTTAAGTTTTTAGCTTTCGTTGGCTATAATGGATGGATATTAATTATCCTGTTCTTAAATCAATTTTCGATTTTAAGCTCAATTCTGTGTGGTTAATTTACTTATGGCTCAATGGGAAAGTATATCCCCATGAAATGCTGGTGCATTTTTCCTCTGGTTTGTGATATGGGGCATGACTAATGTGAATTGTATGTTGGCAGGTCACTGGTTTACAATATTGGATCTAATAAATAACGTAGCTGTGGTGACCAATGGCTGCATCATTGCATTCACTTCAGAATATGGGAGGGAGAAGCTGTTATATGAAAAACTCATCATCCTGATTGTGTTTGAGGTATGGTAATCGTTTAATAGATGCTAAAATAAGTAATCTGCTGGAGAAAAGTCTGCTACAATATTCTTGGGAAAAGAAAAATGAGCAAGCTTTTACTGGTGCTGTGATTTGAAAGGTATAAAATCAACATACCTGATTAATCTCCTTAAGGTTCTGTGTTAGAGGGAATGAGGTTTGTGCCCTTTTGATTGTTTTGGCTTTTTTTTAAAATTAATAATGGCAACAACATATCAAATAGTGGCACAAGGAACCAGAGAGTGCACTGAGGTGCAATGTTGGCCTTTCACTCTTAAACTTGAACTCCACTGATAAATTGGAAGTTTCCTTCTGTTGCCAATTTGATTTGCATGTATTTTACTGGTCTGTAGGACATGAGTGTTGCTGATCCCTAACTGCCCTTGAGAAGAAGACGGCTTCTTGAACATCTGTAGTCCTTGCGATCTAGCTACGCCACACAGTTCAACTCAGATAGGAGTTCCAGGAGTTTGGCCAAATGGTAGTAAATGAACAATGATATAGTACAAATCAGGATTGAGTGTGCCTTGGAGGGGATCTTTCAGGTAATATTCCCATGCAACTATTATTTCTAGCTGGTAGAGATTATGGATTTAGCAAGTTATTATCAAAAGAAGTTTACTGAGTTGCTGCAATTCATCTGAAGTCTACATGAGCTGTTGCCATTGTGCAGTGAGTGTGAATGGAGTGATAGGTGAGGTGCCAATGAAGTAGGCTGCTTGCTGAGCTACCTGAGTGTTGCTAGAGCTGCACTCATCTAGACAAGTGGACAATATTCCATCACAATCCTGACTTGTGCCGTGTGGTTGGTGGAAAGATTTTGGGAAGCCAGTAGATGAGTAACTCTCTGCAGAATGTCCAGCCTCAGGCCTGCTCCTGCAGCTACAGTATTTATGTGGCTGGTTCAGTTTCTGTTCAGTGGTAACCCCCAGGATCTTGATATCGGAGGATTCAGTGATGTTAATGGCACTGAACATCAAGGGACAACGTTTAGATTCGTTCTTTCTGGTGATATTCATTGCCTGACACTTGTGTGGTACAAAAGTTGCCAGCTACTCATCAGTCAAAGCAGGAATGTTGTTTAGATTTTGCTAGATGTGGGTGTGGCTGCTGAGCAGCGAACACCATCTGCCAGCAGTTCAGTCTAGCAGCTATGTCCTTCCAGCCTTGAACAGCTTGGTCAGTAGTGGTGCTGTTGCCATACTTCAATAATAGCTATTGAACTCCCCCACCTAGTGTACATTCTGTGCACTTCAGTACTTCCTTCAAGTCATGTTCAACATGGAGGAGTACTGATTCATCTGTTGAGTTTAATGGTAATTTTTAAAAATAATTATTCATGGGATGTGCGTCTCACTGGCTGGCCCATTCCTAGTTCCCTTGAGAAGGTGATGGTGAGCTGCCCTCTTGAACCACTGCAGTCTATTTGGTGTAAGTAGTCCCAGAATGCCATTAAGGAGGCAGTTCTCATATTTTAACCTAATGACACTGAAGGAACAGTGTTATCAGCAGGAGATTTCTTGCTGATGTTTGAGCCTTATTGGGATTGTGAAGTCTCCCAAGGGACTTTCCATACTGACTATATAGTGCTGTGATACCCCTTGCGATCATTTGTCCTGCTGGTGGGACAGGAGATATCAGTGAATGCTAACAGAGGACTGTAGGACATTGGACATAACAATGTCTAAGGTTATGTCAGGCTGTTGTTTGCGTGCTCTTTAGGATAGTTCTCTCAATTTTGGCACTGATGTTAATGAGGAGAATCTTTGCAAGGTTAACTGAGCAGAGATGCCATTACTCTGTGTATGCCTGATCTTTGCTGTGATAATTTGATGCATCTGAAATAGCTATCTGCGTAGCTATTTCTGAGCACAATTAAGACTCAACCACATTATTGAATGTTTTGTGATTCCAGATATCGGGTGTATAACTGGTGATTCCGGTATCTTCAGTAGTTTGTTCCTACATTGTACATCTGGGTGTGACATAGCCAGACCAGCTAAGGGCAAATCATTTCCACACCTAAAGGATGTAAGAAAAAAAAGAAATAGGAGCAGGAGGAGGATACTTGGCTGCTCCAGCCTGAACTAGCATTCAACAAGATCATGGCTGATTAGCCTCAGCTCCCAACTTTCATGCCAGTTGCTCATGACTCTCAACTCCTCAACATTTTAATAAATCTGTCTACCTCCTTTTCAAATACTTTCAATTCCAGACATTCAATATCCTCTGGGAGAAGAAATTCCTCCGCATCTCTATTTTAAATGACTGAGTGCCGCCTTATTCTGTATCTATGGCCCCTCGTCTGAGATTCCCCCAATCGTGGAAACATCTTTTTACCATCTCCCTTGTCAAGCCACTCAGAATTTTGAATGTTTCAATAAGATATTTCCCCATTCTTCTAAATTCTAATGAATAATGGCCTAACCTGTTTACATTTTCTTGATAAGTCGACTCATACATCCCAGGAATCAGCCTGGTTTGTCTTTTTTTGTCTGTAATGCCAGGATATCCTTTTTAAATATGGGAACCGAAACTGTATTTGGTACTCCACGTTTGTCCTCACCAGTACCTTGTGCAGTTGTAACAAGATTTCCCTGTTTTTAAATCCAAACCCATTGCAATAAAGGCCGAAATTTAATTTGCCTTCTGAATTACTTGCTGCACTGTCATGCTAACATTTTGTATTTCATGCTGCGTGCTTTTGGATTCTTTCTCCATTTAATTTGTAGTCTGACTTTTGATTCTTCC